CACTGAGCAGAGAGCGTGGAGCAGAGAGCATGGAGCAGCGAGCGTGGAGCACGGAGCAGAGTGCACCGAGCAGGGAGCACGGAGCAGAGAGCACTGAGCAGAGAGCGTGGAGCAGAGAGCGTGCAGCAGGGAGCGTGGAGCAGCGATCGCGGAGTAGGGAGAGCGGAGCAGCGAGCGTGGCGCATGGAGCTTGGAGCAGCGAGCGTGGTGCGGACCATCAAAGGAACTATAAAATGTACACCACAGTCTTGGCTTCCTGCGGTGTCACACATCGCACCACGCGATATTCGCCGTGATGCTGAACTCGGCCAAACTCCGCAAAAGCGAATTCCAGCATCTAAACAACGCAGACCAACTGGTGGTCTTCACGCAAACAACTGCTTGCCAGCCCACCACTACCACACTGCCCAGCTTCCACTACACACAGTTCATCAGTGTGCCCACCACTACGTTGCCTGGCTTCTACAATACACAGCTCATCAGCGAGCCCACCACTACGTTGCCTGGCTTCTACAATTCACAGCTCATCAGCGAGCCCAAGACCACACTTCCCAGGTTCCACCATACACATCTCATCAGCGAACCCACCACCACACTGCCCGGTTTCCACCTTCCACAACACACAGTTCATCAGCGAGCCCACCACCACCACATTGCCAGGCTTTCAACTTTACCAGAAATAACGAGCAACACTGAACCCGATCAGCACAAACTACGGAAGATGAGGTGGACACTTGATGCATAACTGCGCACTGCTCCCAAAATGCATTTGACGTTGGGTGAGTGGATGAGTGGGTGGGTGGGTGAGTCACCACACTGCGCCGTCAGCTCCCTGTCACCAGAGTGTGTACGTGGTGCAGTGGTTAGCTCGCTGTGCGCTACGAACACGGCGACACGAGTAACGAGTCCCGCTCACGACTAGCACCAGTGACGATTATTTGAACGGTCCTGAGCCTCCCTTAGGTCGACTCAGTCTCAAATGAGTACGTGGTGCGATGTGTAAACATCGCCACTTGGGAAACAGCACTTGCCCCAAAAGTCTGTTGAGGCTATATGGGAGATCTTTGTCTTTGTTTAAGACAGCAACTTTTCACACAACAGGAAGAGAACATCCAAACTCCACGCAGAAAGGTGCCCACGTCAGGAATCGAACGCAGGAACTGGCTACTATGACACGCGAGTGTCACCCTGCCGCCACCACAACCTCCACCACCCTGCCGCCACCACAACCTCCACCACCCTGCCGCCACCACCACCCTGCCGCCACCACCACCTCCACCACCCTGCCGCCACCACAACCGCCACCACAACCTCCACCACCCTGCCGCCACCACAACTTCCACCACCCTGCCGCCACCACCACCTCCACCACCCTGCCGCCACCACAACCGTGGCTTGGAGTGGGTGAACGGCGTGGGAATGACATCGCCACCTCACGGACTCGTATCCACTAGCGTGCGTCCACCAGCGTGTCCACCAGCGTGTCCACCAGCGTGTCCAGCGTGTCCACCAGCGCGTGTCCACTAGCGTGTGTCCACCAGCGTGTCCACTAGCGTGTGTCCACCAGCGTGTCCACTAGCGTGTGCACCAGCGTGTCCACCAGCGTGTGGCCACCAGCGTGTGGCCACCAGCGTGTCCACCAGCGTGTGTCCACCAGCGTGTGTCCACTAGCGTGTGCACCAACGTGTCCACCAGCGTGTCCACCAGCGTGTCCACTAGCGTGTGCACCAGCGTGTATCCACCAGCATGTGTCCACCAGCGCGTCCACGAGCGTGTCCACCAGCGCGTCCACTAGCGTGTGCACCAGCGTGTGTCCACCAGCGTGTGTCCACCAGCATGTGTCCACCAGCGCGTCCACGAGCGTGTCTACCAGCGCGTCCACTAGCGTGTGCACCAGCGTGTGTCCACCAGCGTGTGTCCACCAGCGTGTGTCCACCAGCGCGTCCACTAGCGTGTGCACCAGCGTGTCCACCAGCGCGTCCACTAGCGTGCATCCACCAGTGTGTCCACTAGCGTGTGTCCACCAGCGTGTCCACCAACGTGTCCACCAATGCGTAACCATGGTCACGCCTCTCCACGGGACGCCTGGACACACATCTTCCTAAAAATAACACCTCCCAGAGCTGCCATCATCGCTATACTGGAGAATTATTTTTACTTGTGGGGGAAGATTAAAACAAAACTCCCACCAAAGTGAAGATTCAGGTCCCGCTGCCTCGGTGCTCTCATCCGTCATTATTTTTGGACGCGCGTCCTGGTCTGTTGACACGAGCGCAATAACACAAATCACCTGCAATCCATGTTGTTTCTGTCACTTATCTTGACAATAAATGTGTTTTAAAAAGTTAATTTATCCGAGCCAACTTTGGCAAACGGACAGTGTATTTAATTTATAATGTATTTTTCTTTGTGGACAGTTTTTTTAAATATAATTTTGCAATGCGATTGCTTCTGCTCCGATTAAGTTTGCTTTACTGTCGTACTGAAGTTGCTACGTTATCGCTTTTCTCATCGTGGCGACCCAGGTTAGGTTCTTACCGTGGCCTCTCGAGTTCTCAGCTGGCCACGCAAAACCACCGACTCGTAGAGCACCGGGCATTGCACAGAGAGACGTACACAAGCCATGAGCAGCGTCACCCACACGGGTGACCCTCAGTCCTGTGGTGGGATTTCTACATCATTTGCAGTGAAATTATTAAACGTTGTATTTCTATTTTACCAGGCAAGGCAAACTGATCTTTATAGCTCCTTTTCAGAAGCGACTTGGCCACAAATGATAGCTCAATGAAGTGGCTTATCATGTGGAAATGTATAGCAGCCAAATACTAGAAATGCGTGATGTTGATTCTAAACGTGAAGGGAACAAAAACGGAGGACCCGAAGAAAAATCTACGCGACCACGGGGAGAGAGACGCAAACTCCAAATATACAGCAGGCGTCAGGTATTGAACCCACGCACTCCTATATATCAGGCGAGGTAAGTAACATCTCGCCACCGTGGCGCCCCAACCTCAATCCAGTGGGTCACCTCTGCCAAAGGCTACAATTTCAGTGGCCTATGCGCTGCGACTCACGCGACCCTCTTTACTTTGTGCCCATTCACGGCTGACCAACCGCCTGTGACCAAATGCCCCGGAATGCGCTCGATCTCCGTTAGAACTCAGAAGCTAAGCAGGCTCCAAAGCTGGCCAATCAATTAAGACCCGAAATGGTTTATCAAATCCTTCCAATGATTGCTAAGCCAGAGTCCATCTTCTCGGTTGAAATTGTCTCTGTGTTTGTATGTGGATAGCCTCATGAACGAATCTCTCATGGTAGCCAGATGGCTTGCAAAGAACCTCTGTCTTGGAGAAGTCAATGTAATGTGAGCCAACTGAATTATAACAGTGATCTGCCACGGCCGAGGTGTTGGATCTACCGTGTTTTAGGTCTGCTTTGTGTTCACGAATGCGGTCCGAGACATGTCGTTTGGTTTCTCCAATGTAACTACCACCACCACTTTTTTCAAATTTTCTTGCTGTGGTTTTCCACACCTGATGATGATTGCTTGTGTTGCAGTCAAAACGTCGTGAGAATTTTATTGTTTAATATTTTTATTATTTTATTGTTTCCCTTCTACGTGACTTTACCGAAAGAACCAAAAATATGAATCCCTGCAGTCACGAAAGCTTTAAATCGAAATTAAATTTGATTAGTATTCTTGGTTCTTTCGGTAAAGTCACGTAGAAGGGAAATAATACAATAATAAAAATAAAACAATAAAATTCTCACGACGTTTCGATTGCAACACAAGCAATCATCATCAGGTGTGAAAACCACAGCAAGAAAATTTTGCAATCGAAACGTCGTGAGAATTGTATTGTTTTATTTGTATTATTTTATTATTTCCCTTCTACGTGACTTTACCGAAAGAACCAAGAATATGAATCCCTGCAGTCACGAAAGCTTTAAATCGAAATTTGATTGGTAGTCCACCGAGTGGGATTATGTTTTGTTTTTCGCTCAAAAATCGGTCACGCAAGGTCGTAGAATACTTTACTTGCACACCCTCAGATGACGGGGGGGCTTTCCAGCGATACCAAATGTGTGCCCGTCGTGGCGAGATGTTAACTACCTCGCCTGGTTAACAGGAGGTAGTGGGTTTAATCCCGACCCTGCTTGTGTATTTGGAGTTTGCGCGTTTTTCTCTCTCTCTCTCTCCCCGCGATCGCGTGGATTTTTCTCCAGGTCCTTCGGTTTCCTCTCCATATTTAGAATCAACATTGCGCATTAAGAGTATGTGGCTGCTATAAATGTCCACATGATAAGCCACTTCATTGAGCTATAATTTGTGGCCAGGTCGTTTCTGAAAAATAGCTATATAGTTCAGTGGGCCTGACCTGGTAAAATTAAAAGATGAGTTAGTTTACCTTTGTCAAAAATTTGGATTTGTATAAAGTTTGTAAATGTTCGTACAGACAAACCAACACACAGGGGGTTGGGTTTATATACAGCATATATATGGTGTGACAACGTACATGAACACAGTGATGCGTGTGTAATACACATGTGGACATTTATAGCACAATGATGCGTGTGTAATACACATGGACATGATACATGGATCGGGCATACACGTATGTGCACAATGGACATGTGCACAATGAGACAGCATATGTGCAATGTGGCATCCGTGCCGAAGGAAGAGCTGTCACGTCTGGAATTATGATCATGATGATGATTTGGAGTAATGATATAGAATGATGAAGATGATGATTTGCAGTGATCATGTTGAATGATGACGATAATGATTTGAAGTGATGATGTAGAATGATTTAGGATGATCATTTGCAGTGATGATGTAGAATGATGATGATAATGATGTGGAGCAATGATGTAGAATGAATGATGAAGATGATGATTTTGAGTCACGACGCAGAATGATGATGATTTTGAGTCATGATGATGGTGGTGGTGATGCTGGCGCCTCTAGTGGCCGCGTCGCCGCCGCTGTGACTCACAGTCGGAAGACGCGCTCCACCTCGCGCCTCTGCGCTCGGGAGAGGAGCTCGGGGACCCGGGTTCCTCCCCTCTCCCCCGCGATGATCCGGGGCCCCCTCTCCGCGGGAGGCGGCTCCACTCGCTCCCCCAAATCCCGGTTCCCGTGGCTGCTCCCCCCGAGCAACCCTCCCATCCCCTCGGTCCCTTCGGCTCGGGGTCGCCACGACCCTTGGAGTCCCGCTCCGGCCGGAGCCGAGGCGCGGCGGAGCCCCTGGGATTGGGGGCCCTGAGAGGGGGAGGGTAGAGAGGGGGGGCCCTGAGAGGGGGGGCCCTGAGAGGGGGGGCCCTGAGAGGGGGGGCCTTGAGAGGGGGGGCCCTGAGAGGGGGGCCCCTCGGTCCCCGCTGTGACCCCGACGGCGGCGCGCGTCTCAGCCGCCTCCTCCTCCGCAGCGCCGATGGTGAGGCGCCGCTGCAGCTTCCGAGCCAGCTCGTCACTCGCCATGGCCTCTCCCTAGCTCGTCCTCCTAATCCGCGTCCTCCTCCTCGTCTCCCCGCAGCTCTGACCCGCGGGTCCGCGCCCCGCGCTAAATTTACCCGTGGCGGCACGCGGGGGGCGGGGGGCCGCGCGGTGCCGCGGGGTGGCGTGGAGTGGGCTGAGGTGGAGCTTCACATGGATAGCGTGGATTTGTTGAGTGGAGTTGTGTGTAGTCGTGTGGGGTAGTGTGTAGTTGTGTGTAGTCGTGTGGGGTAGTGTGTAGTTGTGTGGGGTAGTGTGGAGTTGTAGAGTGGAGTTGTGTGTAGTTGAGTGGAGTTGTGTGTAGTTGTATGGGGTAGTGTGTAGTTGTGTGGAGTTGTGTGGGGTAGAGTGGAGTTGTAGAGTGGAGTTGTGTGTAGTTGAGTGGAGTTGGGTGTAGTTGTATGGGGTAGTGTGTAGTTGTGTGTAGTTGTGTGTAGTTGTGTGGGGTAGTGTGGAGTTGTAGAGTGGAGTTGTGTGTAGTTGAGTGGAGTTTTGTGTAGTTGTGTGGAGGTGTGTGGGGGAGTGTGGAGTTGTTGAGTGGAGTTGTGTGTAGTTGTGTGGGGTAGTGTATAGTTGTGTGGAGTTGTGTGGGGTAGTGTGGAGTTGAGTGGAGTTGTGTGTAGTTGTGTGGGGTAGTGTGTAGTAGTTGTGTGTAGTTGAGTGGAGTTGTGTGTAGTTGTGTGGAATTGTGTGTAGTTATATGGGGTAGTGTGTAGTTGTGTGGAGTTGTGTGGGGTAGTGTGGAATTGTTGAGTGGAGTTGTGTGTAGTTGTGTGGAGTTGTGTGCAGTTGTGTGGGGTAGTGTGTAGTTGTGTGGAGTTGTGTGGGGTAGTGTGGAGTTGTAGAGTGGAGTTGTGTGTAGTTGAGTGGAGTTGTGTGTAGTTGTATGGGGTAGTGTATAGTTGTGTGGAGTTGTGTGGGGTAGTGTGTAGTTGTGTGGAGTTTTGTGTAGTTGTGTGGAGGTGTGTGGGGGAGTGTGGAGTTGTTGAGTGGAGTTGTGTGTAGTTGTGTGGGGTAGTGTATAGTTGTGTGGAGTTGTGTGGGGTAGTGTGGAGTTGAGTGGAGTTGTGTGTAGTTGTGTGGGGTAGTGTGTAGTAGTTGTGTGTAGTTGAGTGGAGTTGTGTGTAGTTGTGTGGAGTTTTGTGTAGTTGTGTGGAGGTGTGTGGGGGAGTGTGGAGTTGTTGAGTGGAGTTGTGTGTAGTTGTGTGTGGTAGTGTGTAGTAGTTGTGTGTAGTTGAGTGGAGTTGTGTGTAGTTGTGTGGAATTGTGTGTAGTTATATGGGGTAGTGTGTAGTTGTGTGGAGTTGTGTGGGGTAGTGTGGAATTGTTGAGTGGAGTTGTGTGTAGTTGTGTGGAGTTGTGTGCAGTTGTGTGGGGTAGTGTGTAGTTGTGTGGAGTTGTGTGGGGTAGTGTGGAGTTATAGAGTGGAGTTGTGGGTAGTTGAGTGGAGTTGTGTGTAGTTGTATGGGGTAGTGTATAGTTGTGTGGAGTTGTGTGGGGTAGTGTGGAATTGTTGAGTGGAGTTGTGTGTAGTTGTGTGGAGTTGTGTGCAGTTGTGTGGAGTTGTGTGGGGTAGTGTGGAGTTGTGTGTAGTTGTGTGGAGTTGTGTGTAGTTGTGTGGGGTAGTGTGGAGTTGTGTGGAATTGTGTGTAGTTGTATGGGGTAGTGTGTAGTTGTGTGGAGTTGTGTGTAGTTGTGTGGAGTTGTGTGTAGTTGTGTGGGGTAGTGTGTAGTTGTGTGGAGTTGTGTGGGGTAGTGCGGAGTTGTGTGTAGTTGTGTGTAGTTGTGTGGGGTAGTGTGTAGCTATGTGGAGTTGTGTGGGGGAGTGTGGAGTTGTGTGGAGTTGTGTGGAGTTGTGTGAAGTTGTGTGGGGTAGTGTGTAGTTGTGTGGAATTGTGTGTAGTTGTATGGGGTAGTGTGTAGTTGTGTGAAGTTGTGTGGGGTAGTGTGGAATTGTTGAGTGGAGTTGTGTGTAGTTGTGTGGAGTTGTGTGTAGTTGTGTGGGGTAGTGTGTAGTTGTGTGGGGTAGTGTGTAGTTGTGTGGGGTAGTGTGGAGTTGTGTGGGGTAGTGTGGAGTTGTGTGTAGTTGTGTGGGGTAGTGTGTAGTTGTTGAGTGGAGTTGTGTGTAGTTGCGTGGGGTAGTGTGGAGTTGTTGAGTGGAGTTGTGTGGAGTTGTGTGTAGTTGTGTGGGGTAGTGTGGAGTTGTTGAGTGGAGTTGTGTGTAGTTGTGTGGAGTTGTGTGTAGTTGTGTGGAGTTGTGTGTAGTTGTGTGGGATAGTGTGTAGTTGTGTGTAGTTGTGTGGGGTAGTGTGTAGTTGTTGAGTGGAGTTGTGTGTAGTTGTGTGTAGTTGTGTGGGGTAGTGTGTAGTTGTGTGGGGTAGTGTGGAGTTGTTAAGTGTAGTTGTGTGTAGTTGTGTGTAGTTGTGTGGGGTAGTGTTTGGTTGTGTGGGGTAGTGTATAGTTGTGTGGAGTTGTGTGTAGTTGTGTGGGGTAGTGTGTAGTAGTTGTGTGTAGTTGTGTGGGGTAGTGTGGAGTTGTTGAGTGGAGTTGTGTGTAGTTGTGTGGAGTTGTGTGTAGTCGTGTGGGGTAGTGTGTAGTTGTGTGGGGTAGTGTGTAGTTGTGTGGAGTTTTTGAGTGGAGTTGTGTGTAGTTGTGTGGAGTTGTGTGTAGTTGTGTGGGGTAGTGTGTAGTTGTGTGGAGTTGTGTGTAGTTGTGTGGAGTTGTGTGGGGTAGTGTGGAGTTGTTGAGTGGAGTTGTGTGTAGTGTGGAGTTGAGTGTAGTTGTATGGGGTAGTGTGTAGTTGTGTAGAGTTGTGTGTAGTTGTGTGGAGGTGTGTGGGGGAGTGTGGAGTTGTTGAGTGGAGTTGTGTGTAGTTGTGTGGGGTAGTGTATAGTTGTGTGGGGTAGTGTGGAGTTGAGTGGAGTTGTGTGTAGTTGTGTGGGGGTAGTGTGTAGTAGTTGTGTGTAGTTGAGTGGAGTTGTGTGTAGTTGTGTGTAGTTGTATGGGGTAGTGTGTAGTTGTGTGGAGTTGTGTGGGGTAGTGTGGAATAGTGTGGAATTGTTGAGTGGAGTTGTGTGTAGTTGTGTGTAGTTGTGTGGAGTTGTGTGTAGTTGTGTAGGGTAGTGTAGAGTTGTGTGGAATTGTGTGTAGTTGTATGGGGTAGTGTGTAGTTGTGTGGAGTTGTGTGTAGTTGTGTGGAGTTGTGTGTAGTTGTGTGGGGTAGTGTGTAGTTGTGTGGAGTTGTGTGGGGTAGTGTGGAGTTGTGTGTAGTTGTGTGGGGTAGTGTGTAGCTATGTGGAGTTGTGTGGGGGAGTGTGGAGTTGTGTGTAGTTGTGTGGAGTTGTGTGTAGTTGTGTGGGGTAGTGTGTAGTTGTGTGGAATTGTGTGTAGCTGTATGGGGTAGTGTGTAGTTGTGTGAAGTTGTGTGGGGTAGTGTGGAATTGTTGAGTGGAGTTGTGTGTAGTTGTGTGGGGTAGTGTGTAGTTGTGTGGAGTTGTGTGTAGTTGTTTGTAGTTGTGTGGAGTTGTGTGTAGTTGTGTGTAGTTGTGTGGGGTAGTGTGTAGTTGTGTGGAGTTGTGTGTAGTTGTGTGGGGTAGTGTGTAGTTGTGTGGGGTAGTGTGTAGTTGTTGTGTGTAGTTGTGTGGGGTAGTGTGGAGTTGTTGAGTGGAGTTGTGTGTAGTTGTGTGGAGTTGTGTGTAGTTGTGTGGGGTAGTGTGTAGTTGTGTGTAGTTGTGTGAGGTAGTGTGTAGTTGTTGAGTGGAGTTGTGTGTAGTTGTGTGGGGTAGTGTGTAGTTGTGTGGAATTGTGTGTAGTTGTATGGGGTAGTGTGTAGTTGTGTGAAGTTGTGTGGTGTAGTGTGGAATTGTTGAGTGGAGTTGTGTGTAGTTGTGTGGAGTTGTGTGTAGTTGTGTGGGGTAGTGTGTAGTTGTGTGGAGTTGTGTGTAGTTGTGTGGGGTAGTGTGGAGTTGTGTGTAGTTGTGTGGGGTAGTGTGTAGTTGTTGAGTGGAGTTGTGTGTAGTTGTGTGGGGTAGTGTGGAGTTGTTGAGTGGAGTTGTGTGTAGTTGTGTGGAGTTGTGTGTAGTTGTATGGGGTAGTGTGTAGTTGTGTGGAGTTGTGTGGGGTAGTGTGGAATTGTTGAGTGGAGTTGTGCGTAGTTGTGTGGGGTAGTGTGGAGTTGTTGAGTGGAGTTGTGTGTAGTTGTGTGGAGTTGTGTGTAGTCGTGTGGGGTAGTGTGTAGTTGTGTGGGGTAGTGTGTAGTTGTGTGGAGTTTTTGAGTGGAGTTGTGTGTAGTTGTGTGGAGTTGTGTGTAGTTGTGTGGGGTAGTGTGTAGTTGTGTGGAGTTGTGTGTAGTTGTGTGGAGTTGTGTGGGGTAGTGTGGAGTTGTAGAGTAGAGTTGTGTGTAGTTGAGTGGAGTTGTGTGTAGTTGTATGGGGTAGTGTGTAGTTGTGTGGAGTTGTGTGGGGTAGTGTGGAGTTGTTGAGTGGAGTTGTGTGTAGTTGTGTGGAGTTGAGTGTAGTTGTGTGGGGTAGTGTGTAGTTGTGTGGAGTTGTGTGTAGTTGTGTGGAGGTGTGTGGGGGAGTGTGGAGTTGTTGAGTGGAGTTGTGTGTAGTTGTGTGGGGTAGTGTGGAGTTGAGTGGAGTTGTGTGTAGTTGTGTGGGGGTAGTGTGTAGTAGTTGTGTGTAGTTGAGTGGAGTTGTGTGTAGTTGTGTGGAATTGTGTGTAGTTGTATGGGGTAGTGTGTAGTTGTGTGGAGTTGTGTGGGGTAGTGTGGAATTGTTGAGTGGAGTTGTGTGTTGTTGTGTGGAGTTGTGTGTAGTTGTGTGGAGTTGTGTGTAGTTGTGTGAGGTAGTGTGGAGTTGTGTGTAGTTGTGTGGAGTTGTGTGGGGTAGTGTGGAGTTGTGTGGAATTGTGTGTAGTTGTATGGGGTAGTGTGTAGTTGTGTGGAGTTGTGTGTAGTTGTGTGGGGTAGTGTGTAGTTGTGTGGAGTTGTGTGGGGTAGTGTGTAGTTGTGTGTAGTTGTGTGGGGTAGTGTGTAGCTATGTGGAGTTGTGTGGGGGAGTGTGGAGTTGTGTGGAGTTGTGTGTAGTTGTGTGGAGTTGTGTGTAGTTGTGTGTAGTTGTGTGGGGTAGTGTGTAGTTGTGTGTAGTTGTATGGGGTAGTGTGTAGTTGTGTGAAGTTGTGTGGGGTAGTGTGGAATTGTTGAGTGGAGTTGTGTGTAATTGTGTGGAGTTGTGTGTAGTTGTGTGGGGTAGTGTGTAGTTGTGTGGAGTTGTGTGTAGTTGTGTGTAGTTGTGTGGGGTAGTGTGTAGTTGTGTGGAGTTGTGTGTAGTTGTGTGGAGTTGTGTGTAGTTGTGTGGAGTTGTGTGGGGTAGTGTGGAGTTGTGTGTAGTTGTGTGGGGTAGTGTGTAGTTGTTGAGTGGAGTTGTGTGTAGTTGTGGGGTAGTGTGGAGTTGTTGAGTGGAGTTTTGTGTAGTTGTGTGGAGTTGTGTGTAGTTGTGTGGGGTAGTGTGTAGTTGTGTGGGGTAGTGTGTAGTTGTTGAGTGGAGTTGTGTGTAGTTGTGTGGGGTAGTGTGTAGTTGTGTGGAATTGTGTGTAGTTGTATGGGGTAGTGTGTAGTTGTGTGAAGTTGTGTGGGGTTGTGTGGAATTGTTGAGTGGAGTTGTGTGTAGTTGTGTGGAGTTGTGTGTAGTTGTGTGGGGTAGTGTGTAGTTGTGTGGAGTTGTGTGTAGTTGTGTGGAGTTGTGTGGAGTTGTGTGGGGTAGTGTGGAGTTGTGTGTAGTTGTGTGGGGTAGTGTGTAGTTGTTGAGTGGAGTTGTATGTCGTTGTGTGGGGTAGTGTGGAGTTGTTGAGTGGAGTTGTGTGTAGTTGTGTGGAGTTGTGTGTAGTTGTGTGGGGTAGTGTGTAGTTGTGTGTAGTTGTGTGTAGTTGTGTGGGGTAGTGTGTAGTTGTTGAGTGGAGTTGTGTGTAGTTGTGTGGGGTAGTGTGTAGTTGTGTGGAGTTGTGTGTAGTCGTGTGGGGTAGTGTGTAGTTGTGTGGGGTAGTGTGTAGTTGTGTGTAGTTGTGTGGGGTAGTGTAGAGTTGTGTGGGGTAGTGTGGAGTTGTGTGGGGTAGTATGTAGTTGTTGAGTGGAGTTGTGTGTAGTTGTGTGGGGTAGTGTGTAGTTGTGTGGAGTTGTGTGTAGTCGTGTGGGGTAGTGTGGAGTTGTTGAGTGGAGTTGTGTGTAGTTGTGTGGAGTTGCGTGGGGTAGTGCGGAGTTGAGTGCAGTTGAGTGGAGTTGCAGGCTGGACCAGGGTGGTATGTTGAACTTCTTTCGCACCGTACGTAGCCAACCGAGATAATCAGATGTGCTGGAAAGGGCAGTGAGCACGTATGTGGGCAGTGAGCACGTTGGTGGGAGGTGGAGGGCGAAAGGAGTGACACAGTGACAACGTGATTGACACAGCGAGTGACACAGTAAGTGATATAGCGAGTGACACAGTGACAGTAAGTTATACAGCGAGTGACAGCGAGTGACACAGTGAGTGACACAGTAAGTGATATAGCGAGTGACACATAGTGACAGTAAGTTATACAGCGAGTGACAGCGAGTGACACAGTGAGTGACACAGTAAGTGATATAGCGAGTGACATAGTGACAGTAAGTTATACAGCGAGTGACACAGTGAGTGACACAGTAAGTGATATAGCGAGTGACACAGTGAGTGACACGGCGAGTGACACAGTAAGTGATATAGCGAGTAACACAGTGAGTGATACAGCGAGTGACACAGTGAGTGACAGCGAGTGACACAGTGAGTGACACAGTGACAGCGAATGACAGTGGCACAGGGACTGACACCGTGATTGACACAGTGAGTGACACAGTGAGTGACAGCGAGTGATACAGCGAGTGACACTGAGTCACACAGTGAGTGATACAGCGAGTGACACAGCGAGTGACATAGTGAGTGACACAGTGAGTGACACAGTGAGTGACACAGTGACACAGCGAATGACAGTCGCACAGGGAGTGACACCGTGATTGACACAGTGAGTGACACAGTGAATGATACATTGAGTAACACAGCGAATGACACAGTGAGTGACACAGTGAGTGACACAGCGAGTGATACAGTCAGTGACACAGCGAGTGATACAGTGAGTGACACAGTGAGTGACAGCGAGTGACATAGTGAGTGACACAGCGAGTGATACAGTGAGTGACACTGCGAGTGATACAGTGAATGATACAGTGAGTGACACAGCGAGTGATACAGTGAGTAACACAGCGAATGACACAGTGAGTGACACAGTGAGTGACACAGCGAGTGATACAGTGAGTGACACAGCGAGTGATACAGTGAATGATACAGTGAGTGACACAGCGAGTGATACAGCGAGTGACACAGTGAGTCACACAGTGAGTGACACAGCGAGTGATACAGTCAGTGACACAGCGAGTGATACAGTGAGTGACACAATGAGTGACTCGCTATTCCGGAAGGGCGCGGCACCCCCAGCGGGACAACGGGAGCTTGCGTGATTTGCCACACGCGAAATGCGCCACATCTTGGAAGCTAAGCAGGTTTAAGCCTGCATCGTGAGTGCATGGATGGGCGACTGCTATCTGGAAAGGGTCACGTGAGCTGCGGAGGCTGAATTGAGGGCAGTGCAAAAAAAGAATCTGTTTTACCGCACGCATATGGTTCACGCCTTCACAAACTGCTGACCAACGTGGTGAAGTATGGCCACACAACCCTCCCAAGGCGCAAATACAGCCAGCCGTGAAAATTACACTCACACGTGGGCTCCCCGTGCACACACGTTCACTCACTCACACGTGGGGTCCCCGTGCACACACGTTCACTCACTCACACGTGGGCTCCCCGTGCTCACACGTTCACTCACACGTGGGCTCCCCGTGCTCACATGTTTACTCACTCACACGTGGGCTCCCCGTGCACACACGTTCACTCACTCACGTGGGCTCTCTATGTCCACACATTCACTCACTCACACGTGGGCTCCCCGTGCTCACACGTTCACTCACTCACACGTGGGCTCCCCGTGCTCACACGTTCACTCACACGTGGGCTCCCCGTGCTCACACGTTCACTCACTCACACGTGGGCTCCCAATGTCCACACGTTGAATCACTCACATGTGAGCTCCCCGTGCTCACACGTTCATTTACTCACACATGGGCTCCCCGTGTCCACACGTTCACTCACACGTGGGCTCCCCGTGCTCACATGTTCACTCACTCACACGTGGGCTCCCCGTGTCCACACGTTCACTCACACGTGAGCTCCCCGTGCTCACACGTTCACTCACTCACGTGGGCTCCCCGTGCACACACGTTCACTCACTCACACATGGGCTCCCCATGTCCACACATTCACTCACTCATATGTGGGCTCCCAGTGTCCACACGTTCACTCACTCACACGTGGGCTCCCCGTGCTCACACGTTCACTCACTCACGTGGGCTCCCCGTGTCCACACATTCACTCACTCACACGTGGGCTCCCTGTGCTCACACGTTCACTCACTCACACCTGGGCTCCCCGTACACACACGTTCACTCACGGCTTTGCAGGTCACGTGACGAGGCGTGCTGGAGCGGTCACGTGACGGTTGCCTAGGAACCGCGTCCCGTCGCCGCTCAGGGAAACTCGCGCCCAGGCCCGGTGAGTTTCTCTCTAACAACAACAACAGCAGCATCATACATTCACTACAACAACACCATTCTCTGCTGTTTACGTACAAAGCTCGATCTACTGCTGGGTTAGGGCCTCCGAGAGGCGCGCGGTGTATGTTGGTCGCACCATACTTCACCGCGTTGGGCCCTTGCGGGTTAATTTTGCTGCGATACATTTCCACACAACGATAAGCCACTACTTTGTTGAGCTTTTGTCATTTGTGGCCAGGTCGCTTCTAAAAAAATAATTTAATACCTCAGTGGGCTTTAGGTGGTAAGGAAAAAAATAGTTTAATTTTATTTGTGTTTTTTTTGTGATTTGTTTACCTTGCCTATACTTTGCATTCCTATCGTGTTTCTGTGTTGGTGTTGTCACGTTCTGACCTCGCCCCCACTGGACATCTGTGCCAAAAAGCCGTCTCGGGTGTGGACCAATCAAATTCGGGGACGGTGCATATTATTATCAGAGTTGTCTCTTTTGTTTGCATTTTGACTGCTTGTGTTGTGGTTATTGCAAACATGATGCCTTGAATGGAGGTGTCAGTTTTTGTGCCAGTTAAAAGGGTAAAACCTTTTACTATAGCTTTATAGCTCATCGGATTCCTACTGTATAAATAAATATTCTGATTCTGGTGTCGTGAGTATGGAGCCCTCGGGTGATTGAGGTGTCGCTCGCCACTGTTGGTGGCCGTGGCCGCGAATCGAACCGAAGTGGCCGGGTTCGTAGCGCAGTGGCGCTCACCACTAGAGTCCGTCGTGCTGAAGTTCCTCGACTTCACACCCAGCCTGGCCTGTACGTCTGGCGAAAAAGAGCTTCGTAGATCATCGGGTTTTTCCAGTCGAAATAAAATGATTCTGATTCTGGTGCCACGCTCGTGCAATAATCACCCTCGATCTATGTTGATGTTTCTGTTAACTCTGTTTCACTGTGAATTTAACCTAACCAACTCGTCTCGGTCAACTATTGTGTTGAATATTAATTATATTTCATACGGATTATGTGTGTGTACTATTATCCATTTCTTTTGTAACGTGGCTGTTTGCGCTCAAGATTTATATTTACTCCATTGTTGTACTTTTTATATTATTGCTTTGTAATTTTCTTTATCCATGTCACGTGAGACTATCCTTGTAGCCAGAGTTCTCACCTGGTGGAACACCATAAATGTGAAAGTCGAACTTGTTGTCACACGTTGAAATGGAAGCCACATGAGTGAAGGGGATAATGTATTATTTAAAGACATCGTACGTTGGAAATCCACACCTAACTCCCCTTTGAAAAAATAAATCGTAAGAAAATCCCCCCCCTCTTCAAACGATCTTCTTGTACTTGACCCTCTGTTGGTAAAGTACGAGAGATGTGGCCACATGTCACAATTCATCACTAAACTTGTGTTCATTTTAACACGTCGGCTTTCCTGACCAATATTATGCAAAATAGAGGTTTTTTGTTGTTGTTGTTAAATCACGTAAATATAATTGTGTCGTTAAACCCGCCACCATCTGACACAGCCAATTACGGTAGTAAGGTTTGTCACTTAAACAAAACATGGCAATTAGTTACGAGTTCAGCACATCGGTGTGTTGAAGAGTAAACCCACAATATTTACAATTAAGTACTACGTTTCGCCGGTAATTACAATCAGCCTCATCAGGCGACAGCCATAATTATTTACGCGTTTGTGTCTGCATGTTAATGTTAATTACCGCCAACCTTTAATGTTCGGTACTTGGAGACGTTAAATTACGCCATCCAGTGCCGTATAAGTTAAAGTGAGGTGATTTTGCTGTGCATAGAGAAACTGACCTTGGGAATTTCACACAGGTGGTGAAAAAGTTTGGCCAAGGTCGCAAGACAAAAATGTGTGCAGACCACATCCCGCTGGACCTGCTCTCTTCTCTCACCCCGGCCCGGGCAAAGATGATGGTGACACAGCGACCATGCGGTTTTTTTTATCACTCTCAACACGGCGTTCATGCCCAGTACATTAGTTTGCAGCAAGTCTTCATACGTATTTTAATATCGTGTACAGCCCTTTTGTTAATCCACTCTTGGAGAAGGATCTCTCTACACACTGTGCAGACTGTGGGTGTTATTTGACCGTCCTTCGCCACGCTGGTCAATGAGGGAATAGCAATGACATGGGAGTGTAGAATTATAGGACAACAATGGCTTCTGCTGCAATGTCCTCTGCTACCCACTACGGAGCAGCCTCTGCTCATGCCTGACAGGGATCTATCCAAGCACTAGTCAGGCTGCGGCCTGCTTAACTTCGGGGATCTGACAAAATGGGTTCCATTCTGGTTGGTTTGGTAATAGACCATTTCGTATCAATGGAGACGAATGCATCTATTTCATCCTGTTTAATCTAACCTTGCTGTTTAAAATATTTAGTGTGCTTGACTACAGGTGTTTAGTTTGTCCTTCCCCTGCCCTCCGATTAGTGCGGTTGGCTACGTGCGGTGCAAAGAAGTTCACATATATGCATGTGTATGGAAGGCTATGCATATACCCAATCTGCACCCTGTGGAGCAGATATATACAGCGAGGGAAAAAAAAAATGTGAACCCCTGCTGATTTTATACGTTTGCCCACTGACAAAGGAATGATCAGTCTATAATTTTAATGGTAGGTTTATTTGAACAGTGAGAGACAAAATAACAAGAAAATCCAGAAAAAAGCATGTCAAAAATGTTATAAATTGATTTGCATTTTAATGAGGGAAAAAAGTATTTGACCCCCTCTCAATCACAAAGATTTCTGGCTCCCAGGTGTGTTTTTTATACAGGTGTAGTGGTTGATTTCACTCGGACAACTTTTGTCTTTCTTCCAACACCACTTTATTTACAGTTCTCCACATGTCCTCAATGCTTCACAGTTCCCTTGCTTGCCACAACTCGCTCGCCGTGCCTCACTCGACTCGCCGCCTTTGTCTCTCCAATCTCTACTTCTCCGTCAGCTCCGCTGTCACTGTGCTTTCTCCACTGCTGGCTGCTTCGTCTCTGCTCTCCGCTATCACTGTGCTTTCTCCGCTGCTTCTCTGCTATCACTGTGCTCGCTCCACTGCTGGCTGCTTCTCTCTGCTCTCACTGTGCTCTCTCCACTGCTGGCTGCTTCTCTGCTATCACTGTGCTCGCTCCACTGCTGGCTGCTTCTCTGCTATCACTGTGCTCGCTCCACTGCTGGCTGCTTCTCTGCTATCACTGTGCTCGCTCCACTGCTGGCTGCTTCTCCCTGCTCTCACTGTGCTCTCTCCACTGCTGGCTGCTTCTCTCTGCTCTCACTGTGCTCTCTCCACTGCTGGCTGCTTCTCTGCTATCACTGTGCTCGCTCCACTGCTGGCTGCTTCTCTCTGCTCTCACTGTGCTCTCTCCACTGCTGGCTGCTTCCACTTCAGCTCCTGCTTTCCTCTCTCCACTGCTGGCTGACTTCAGCTCTGCTCCACGTCCTCCTTGGTCCAGCCCCCGAATCCAACTCCCCTTTCTCCTCGCGTCTCCCCAATTTATCCCCGCTCTCATTATTCTCCAATTAATTAACCCGCGTCCCACCGGCGCTCCGCGTGCCCGTGCACCTGTTACTTCTCCAGACATTAAGACGCCAATTCAGTCCTGACAACAACACCAGCCAATCACAGCCGTCTCTGGCTCCCTAGCTTAATTGGCCTAATCATTACCTCATCGTCCCAACCATCGCACCTGGCTGTGCCAATATGACCCATACTGTCCTGCCCCCGCGCGATCTCACCATTTACCCCCATGCGCCTATTTATTCCACTACACAGGTAACGAGCTGAGATTAGGAGCACACTCTTAAAGGGAGTGCTCCTAATCTCAGCTTGTTACCTGTATAAAAGACACCTGTCCACAGAAGCAATCAATCAATAAGATTCTAAACTCTCCACCATGGCCAAGACCAAAGAGCTCTCCAAGGATGTCAGGGACAAGATTGTAGACCTACACAAGGATGGAATGGGCTACAAGACCATTGCCAAGCAGCTTGATAAGAAGGTGACAACAGTTGGTGCGATTATTCGCAAATAGAAGAAACACAAAAGAACTGTCAATCTCCCTCGGCCTGGGGCTCCATGCAAGATATCACCTCGTGGAGTTGCAATGATCATGAGAACGGTGAAGAATCAGCCCATAACTACACGGGAGGATCTTGTCAATGATCTCAAGGCAGCTGGGACCATAGTCACCAAGAAAACAATTGGTAACACACTATGCCGTGAAGGACTGAAATCCTGCAGCGCCCGCAAGGTCCCCCTGCTCAAGAAAGCACATATACATGCCCGTCTGAAGTTTGCCAATGAACATCTGAATGATTCAGAGGACAACTGGGTGAAAGTGTTGTGGTCAGATGAGACCAAAATGGAGCTCTTTGGCATCAACTCCACTCGCCGTGTTTGGAGGAGGAGGAATGCTGTCTATGACCCCAAGAACACCATCCCCACCGTCAAACATGGAGGTGGAAACATTATACTTTGAGGGTGTTTTTCTGCTAAGGGGACAGGACAACTTCACCGCATCAAAGGGACGATGGACGGGGCCATGTATCGTCAAATCTTGGGTGAGAACCTCCTTCCCTCAGCCAGGGTATTGAAAATGGGTCGTGGATGGGTATTCCAGCATGACAATGACCCAAAACACACGGCCAAGGCAACAAAGGAGTGGCTCAAGAAGAAACTCATTAAAGTCCTGGAGTGGCCTAGCCATTCTCCAGACCTTAATCCCATAGAATATCTGTGGAGGGAGCTGAAGGTTCGAGTTGCCAAACGTCAGCCTCGAAACATTAATGACTTGGAGAAGATCTGCAAAGAGGAGTGGGACAAAATCCCTCCTGAGATGTGTGCAAACCTCGTGGCCAACTACAAGAAACGTTTGACCTCTGTGATTGCCAACAAGGGTTTTGCCACCAAGTACTATGTCATGTTTTGCAGAGGGGTCAACTACTTATTTCCCTCATTAAAATGCAAATCAATTTATAACATTTTTGACATGCGTTTTTCTGGATTTTGTTGTTATTATTCTGTCTCTCACTGTTCAAATAAACCTACCATTAAAATTATAGACTGATCATTTCTTTGTCAGTAGGCAAATGTACAAAATCAGCAGGGGATCAAATATTTTTTTTCCCTCACGGTATATGTCTATATGAACATGTCTGGAAATGAATGCTTACGTGTGTGTACGCAGACGCGTTCGCATACATCACGCGCCTCCGACAAAGTATGGCATTATCCGCAGCAACGGAGCAAGTTTACACATCTCACAGATCAACCTGTGTGTCTGACGGGAGCAGGGAGGTATGGCAGCACGCGGACACATACACACGCAGGATTGCACCACTCACTAAAACTGTATGGAGAAAAACCTTTTGTCCATGTTGAGGTAGGGGCTGCTGAAAGCGTATGAGCAAAATCGTGATTGAGAAGGGTTGACATCTAATTATCCATGAAAATAACTTATCCATAACATTAATCGTAGATAATTAAATGATTATCATCCATAGCTCCCTATATGTTAAACATAATTTCCAGTAGGAAGGGGTGGAGTGTAGATGGATTCAGGTGTACAATCCACTGCTGGATGAGGACCTCCCCATGCCGTGTGAGTTGTGGAGGTTATCTGACCACACTTCACGCCAGTCAGTGCGGGTCGGACTTGGTCCAAAATCAGATATCTCTATGAGTAGGACTCAGACTCTGCTGGGGAAACCGATCACACGCAGGAGTAGACTGGATATCGTTTGCCAGTGCTCGTGCAAGATCTGCTTCCCGCATGTGTTCAGCGTGAGCACGCTGAGTGTTACAAGCTACTGCACTTTACAGATGTGACGTTGGTTTTGTGCAGCAGCAGTGAACGTGGCCTGTACATGTAATTGTTGACTGAATGTCAGCTCAGAGATTGGAATCGTGCCCTGCATTTGCGCATGCGCATAAATGCGTAGAATTGTGCTTGCAATTGTGCGTGATAGCATACAACAGGCGTGATTTTTTTTCGGCTGGGTGCAGAAATTTGGCCTTCCTTGAAGATGTGAGAGACGCTTGCGTCCGCAAAGTGGAGGGGGAGGTTGGTGCTCTTTTTTTTCTTTGAACACAATTGCTGATCACATGTCCAACGGCCTAAAACGCCAAGTGGCCAACAACAAACAGCACTATCAAGGGTTTTAATATAAGATAATGTCTTAAATTGAGCAATGTTATAAGGGCTTGGGAAAATAAATCATGGGAGGGATTTTTCAATGTCAAGCACCGTGAAGTGTTGCAATCGGCGGAGTGGCGGGTGAACACTAGATGAGACGAAACAGTCTGGCAGACTGAGTGCTCAACATGGGTAGAGGAATCAACAATAGAAGAGTGATAAGTGGATTCACTGACCACCTGCGAGCAAGTGACTGGAGTGAATCATTGAGTGTTGGATCATCGATCAACCTGATTGGATGTGAAACAAGATTAGTTGTGCCTGACAATGAAGTCATGTCAGTATCATGGTTGTATTCCATTAGTTCCACTTAGCCATTCATCAGATGCATGTCTAGCACATTTATTCGTGCACTGCGAGTGGATGCCGTTCCTGGTGTTTGGCTTTGCAGATTTCCCAGACTATATAATTTGATCCAAATTTTAAAAAGTGTCATGTTCGTTTCCCTGTTTAATCTTAAGCAGAAAAAAATCCAGTTTTCATTCATATGCAAATACTGACATGTTTTTCACCTGGAGAGACATGACACTGGTTAATATTGTTATACAACTTTGTCATCTGCTTCCAGTGCACATAACCATGTCTTTGAATTGGTTTCGGGTCTCGGCTCCATGAAGGAATGTGGGTAGCTCTCAAGCTTACAAGTGGCCGTGTAAACTAAACACACGAAGGGCCGTGGCAAAATTTTACTGCAGTAAAGTGGAGAAATCAGTGATCCTTTTTTATCGCAACTAAAATCAGATTCGGTTCCCCACTTTGCTCTTTGATGCTGAGATTACTCTGGCTTTTGGGTCCCTGGCCAGGTCTGCTCTTTCAAGGGTCCCTGCACCCCTACTGCACGAATCAGGGAGGAAAGTTGGCAGATGCAGTAGTTTAATCGTCGTTGCAAATTGTGATTGGATTTTTCATTCATTCATCATACATTTTATTTAAAAATCTCTTGGATGCATATATAATGTTAATGGTTGCAAGTAGGCTTGCCTCCACAGATAATATGATTCTCAGATATTAAGAATAGTTTTATGTTGATTTAAATATTGTAAGTGGGAATTATTCTGCCGGAAATGTTGATAAAATTGATGATGATCTTCTTGATCGCCGTACCGATTGTATGGATGTTAATAATATTTACACTGGTGATGGCGCTGGTGATGTTTAGGTGGCCCAGCCAAAGGAAGTGCTTTCAGAAACCTTCATCCCCGAGGAGTTCCACATCATTCAGAACCACGGCGTTGTGGGCCTGCAGCTTAAAGACTCGTGAGTTTGCGCATGCGTGTGTGCTGTAAAATTTGTGATGGTAAAATTGTATCGGGAATATTGCCTGGATAGTTTCGCGATCTGCGCACATTGTATCGTGTGTCAGTGTGCGTGTGGCTTATGTACGTATCGCCTTTGAAGTTGAGGATGGTTAACAGTGGATTTTGTGGGGGTGTTTTTGCAGGAAATACACCACATATCTAGAAGACGATGAGAAAAATATGCGAACTTTTCCATCGATGTGAGCTATCATACACTACAGCACCTGCCTGCATCCATGGGATATTCATATTCACAGGCATCACACTTCAGCCCATACAAATCATCCTGCTCCACTTCTTGCTCCCACACCTGCATGGATGAATATACAATACAATGTGGATTTGTATAACATGTTCATGCAAATGCATCTCAAAACTCTGTATAGAAACCCTGGGTATAATATTTTAGGGAGACAGGCATGCAGTAATAATGCACGCTAACATGCATAGCATGTTCTCTATGTAATTGTCTTGTATTTTTTGGTTATATACTTTTAAGTAAACACTACCAAAGTAAAGTTGATAAGACAGCTTAGCATGGGCGAGCGTGGATCGTGCCTGCGTGCATGCACTGTATCTGTTGTCAAGCTTGGGTATCTGCAGAGTTATTATCTGTGTGGGTATCTGCAGAGTTATTATCTACAGGGGTATGAGGATGTGATTGTTGTAACAAATGAACCACAAAAACGACACCATCTCCATTATTAACACTGTCTTATAACAGGAAGAAATATACCAAAGTAGACTAACATTTTATCACATCGACTGTTCAAGTAAGCGAGGTTGGGAAGGGCACGCAGCTAGAAGGGATGATGGCCGGTGGCCAAGACTAAGGAGTGGTAACCAAAGGAGAATACACCTAAACCTACGCCATTGCAGGTGCTAGATGGATTGTTGCATCACAAGACTGGGAGAGACGGTGACAGTTTGGGGAGGCATGCGTGTGCAGTTTGGTGAACGTTCTGCGACTATTTTATCGTGTGTGTGCTGCATGTGTGCTTGTGGTAGTGTTTATGCTACGTGTATGTATGTATGTTGAACTTCTTTTGCAACGTATTAGCAAACCGTGCTCTTTGGAGGTGCGAATGTACATGTGTGGTGTGGGGAGACAAAGGCAGTCGGGCGTGGCGCTGGCCACCCACCCCCGTGTGTGCCATGCTGGCCTTCATAGGTGTTTCCTTATAGCACTTGCTCAAACAGTCTGTTAAGGCTATACAGGTGATCTTTGTCTTTGTGCTGCATGTGTAGGGAGCGGTGGCCCAGTGGTTAGCACTCTACACTACGAACCCAGTGACCAGAGTTCGATTTCTGCTCACGACCAACACCAGCGACAATTATTTGAACAAGTCGTGGACCTCCACTAGGTCAACTCATCCTAAAATGAGTACCTGGTGAAAGGTGTAAACATCACCACTCGGGATACAAAGGCACTACTGGCCACACTCCCCCTCATGTGCTGTGCTGGCCTTCAAAAGTCCTCGTTAACAGTACTTATTAAGGCTATACAGGAAATATTTGTCTTTGTGCTGTACGTATGATTGCGTTTGTGGGCTATGTGTAGTGTGTGCACTGCTCATGTGTTTGTGGTGCTGTGTGTGCTGTGTATATTGTGCCGTGTGTGCACTGTTGGTGTGTTTGTGGTTCTATGTGCTGTGCGTATGGTGCGGTGTGTGCACTGCACTTGTTTGTGGTGCTGTGCGCTGTGTGTATTGTGCCGTATGTGCACTGCTCGTGTGTTTGTGCTGTGTGTGCTGTGTGTGCTGCGTGTATATGCGTGGTGTGTGCACTGCTCATGTGTTTACGGTGCTGTGTGTGCTGTGTATATTGTACCATGTGTGCACTGCTCATGTGTGTAGTCAGTCCAACTGAGTCGCAGACGTCATCTTGGGAGCAACACTATTTATTCACATACAATACGTAACGTCACACAACCTACGCCCGGGTCTCGAATTCCCATCTAACCACGCTATGGCAGAACTAGACACGGTTCGCTATCCCGGTCCGGACCACAAGCTGGGTCCCGGACCGCGTGGCTCGTGTGTTTGTGGTGCTGTGTGTGCTGTGTGTATGTGTGTGGTGTGTGCACTGCTCATGTGTTTGTGGTGCTGTGTGTGCTGTGTGTGCTGTTTATATTGTGCCGTGTGTGCACTGCTCGTGTGTTTTTGCTGCTGTGTGTGCGTGCAGGCGTCCGATGGCACGCAATGAGGTGGTGGAGCTGACTCGCGTGCTGGATACGTGGCTGGAGAAGCTAGGACCCATGGAGATAGAAGGTCCCACATCTGTGAGTGAGCCTTGTTGTATATGTCGGTTATGAACATTTTGATGCAAATAATTCAAATTAAATGAAATTTGGAAAATTACGTAATGTTCAGAAGTTATGTTAATCGATGTAATTATGTGCATAAATTGTGCTAATTTAAGAGATAATTGTATTAATTTATGCATGCGTGTGATTATGCTGATGCGAGCGTTATGACAATTAGGCCCTGCCTCGCTGACAAGGGTCGTGTTATCAATCGGTATAATACCATTAATTGTATTAAGTTATGCAGGTGTGCTGTAAGTATGTCAGATTAAACTCGGCTGTGTTGTTTAACTTCATATTAATGATCGGTAAAATACAATTATTCTCACTTTAACATTTACTGAGTGTATTAGTGTTTATGTCAGGTCTCCAAATTCAGATCTCAACGCAGGATACAGCTCTTATGCTTGAAATTTCAGGAAAGAACACGCAACCACTTCTACGTTAATCAATTTTATTTCCGAACTAAACTTCAACTCTAAAAGATGCAACTCTCGGCTTGGAATTCCAACACAGTAACCATTAATTGCGTTGTTTCACTTTGGCGACGGCACATGTGATTAATTCCACTGCATAACGCGAGCTCAGTTGGTGAGAGAGAGAGTCGTTCAAACATACAGGCATGCTATTCTAACAAAAACCTTAATACTCTATTATGAATGATTATAATTGAAATTGCCCACGCAGTACTGCACTCATTATTGATCATATGCAACCCTTAATGCAATTCTTGTCACGTTGTTAACATAGTACTCCCGGATGCTCATTCATTGATTCATATCCAACCCTTAATGCAAATTCTTGTACTTGAAATTGTTAACACAGTACTCCCGGATACTCGTTCATTGATTCATATGGAACCCTTAATGCGAATCCTTATACTTGAATTTGTGAACACAGTACTCCCGGATGCTCATTCATTGATTCGTATGTAACCTTCAATGCAATTCTTCTCATATTGTTAACAGGGTAGCAGGACGATTGATTATTATGCAACGATATTGATATGAAAAGGAAATCATACAATTATTTTTCCCAAAAGGCACAAATATGCGTTCATAGATTCATCAGCAAGATTGTATAATTAAAGAGATGGCTTGGAGTAAGGTGTGCGGTGGGACGTGCTATCTCACGGGAGATTAATTAATTTGTGTACAAGATTGTATGATAAGGAAACCGGTTTAACACGATTTCTCCCCGTGAACGTAGCTCCGTGGCGAAGGTGTCAAGAATTATCTTCTTTGGTTCTTTCGGTAAAGTCACGTAGAATGAGAATAAAATAATAAATTAATAAAATAAAATAACACAAAATTCTCACGACGTTTCGGCCACAACACAAGTGGCCTTCATCAGGTGAAGGGACGAGACTGTCTGGAGGACAGCGCTGGAGCGAACACAGCCAAGCTCAGACCGCGATCTTTAAGCTGTGTGAGAAGAAACAGAGCGCCTTGACAAAGGAATTAGCATAAAAATTTGCATTTAATTGTTAAAGTCAAAGCCTACACATCCACAGAGGCACCTAGTACAAATCAAACAGGATAATTTAGCATTGAAATAACTGAGGGATTAGCTTGTGACTGGTCATAGAAATAGCTATGTTAAAGTCAAAGCCTACACATCCACAGAGGTACCTAGTACAAATCAAACAGGAGAATTTAGCATTGAAATAGCTGAGTGATTAGCTTGTGACTGGTCACAGAAATGGCTATGTTAAAGTCAAAGCCTACATATCCACAGAGGCACCTAGTATAAATCAAACAGGAGAATTTAGCATGGAAATAATTGAGGGATTAGCTTGTGACTGGTCATAGAAATAGCTATGTTAAAGTCAAAGCCTACACATCTACAGAGGCACCTAGTACATGGACGCCAAAGGGGCTGCAACCACTCGACTATCATATAGCAAACCGATGTGAAAAAACCTAAGTCTAAATTACATCAATATAATAAATGTACTCAATATATTCTTCAATAAGCTGAGCTATTAACAGTAACTGAGTATACACTACACTATATAATGAATACCATATGGTAAACCAATAAAAAACTAAAATATAAACTACCTCAATGTTATCAATAAACTCTATATATTCTCCAATCAGCTAAGTTAACAACAATAAGTCGTTATATATCACAATGCTATATGGCGAAAAAATGGGTGGATTCTTACCCTCAACTTTAGCACCACAGATAGCTACGAGCCCCATTCAGATGGATGAGTTCATCCATGGTCGGAACGGAGGAGGGGGAGAGAGACAGCTGCGAGGCGCTGTTATACTCCATGTTGTAAACCATACCATTAACCGTGGTGTGAGAGGTATTAAGAGTCAATGGCAGCGAAAGAGCTGCGGTCTGAAGGTCATCGTAAAATACAATTAATTAAGAACCGATATGATTTAAAAAATCTTTCCAATGGTTACTAAGCCAGAATCCATCTTCTCGGCTGAAATTGTCTCTGTGCTTGTATATGTGAATGGCCTCATGAACGAATCTCTCATGGTAGCCGGTTGGTTTGCAAAGAACCTCCGTCTTGGAGAAGTCAATGTCATGTGAGCCCACTGAATTATAACAGTGATCTGCCATGGCAGAGGAGTTCGTTCTACCGTGTTTCAAGTCTGCTTTATGTTCGCGGATGCGGTCCGAGATATGTCGTTTGGTTTCTCCAATGTAGCTACTACCGCAGAGGCACTTTAGTTTGTAAACGCCCGGGTACTGTATGTCTGGAACAGCATCTTTTACAGATGGAACCAGATCACGGATTTTATGTACTGTGTTTAATCGGACCTGGATCTTGTGTTTATTCAGGATTTTGGAGATTTTTTAGTGACCCCTGCAATGTAGGGTAAGGTGATGGTTTTGAGTGGCTCCACAAGAGGATCCTTCTTCATGACTGGAGTGATGGCTTTGCGGATTGTGTAGTCGGAGTAACCATTGGCCCTGAGAGCCTGGTGTACGTGCTTGAGTTCACTGGTAATGTGTTCCTGGTCGGAAATGCATTGGGCTCTATGGTATAGAGTCTTGATGAGGGAGTTCTTCTGGGATGGATGGTGGTGGGAATCTGGTTTCAAGTAAGCATCTGTATGGGTAGCTTTCCTGTAGACAGAGTGGCTCATTGAACCATCATGTCTCCTTTTAATTAAGACATCCAAAAAGGGTAGTTTGCCATCTTTTTCGACCTCCATGGTAAATCTGATGGCTGGGTATATGGAATTGATGTGGTTGCGGAATTGGTCTAGAGCAGGCTGGCCATGTGGACAGATGACAAAAGTGTCATCCACGTACCTCTTCCATAAGGTCGGGCGTAGGGTGGCAGTCTGTATGGCGTCAGTTTCTAATTTTTCCATGAATACGAGCCCATTGGGGTGCCCTCAGTTTGTTTGTAGAAAATTCCATTCCAGGTGAAGTATGTGTTGGTTAAGCAATGTCTCACCAGGGGGGGTACATAAGTATGCAGTCCTTGATGAACCAGGTCTTCAATGATAGCGATGATGTCAGGTACCGGGACTTTGGTGAACAAGGACACCCCATCAAAACTGACAATCAGGTCGTCTGGGGACAGGGAAATGCCTTTGATTGTCGATACCAGGTGAGTAGAATTTAGTACCGCAGAGGTGGTTTTTCCAGTGAAAGGTCGCAGTATATCAGCAAGAAAACGTGCCAGTTTATAGGTGGGGGAGTTGATAGTAGAGACGATGGAACGAAGGGGTGTATCTTCTTTGTGTATCTTTGGAAGCCCATATAATCTTGGTGGTCTGGCAGCAGAGGGTTTCCACGAGAACTGTTTGGTCTGATCAATTAATGCTGTTGAATCAGAGATGATTTTGTTCGTTTTGGTAACCAGGCTGTTGGTGGGATCTCTTTTTATTTTTGTATAGCTGCCATCGTTGAGTAGTTCTTGAATTTTGTTGTTATATTCTGTTTTGTCCATGATGACAGTGGCATTGCCCTTGTCGGCTGAGAGGACGACAATATCATCTCTCTTTTTTAATTGATATAATTCAAAGCGTTCATCTTTGCTGATGTTGCTAGGTGGCAACTTAGCGTTTTTGATGAATCTATGGGTAATTTATGCGATTAGAAGTACAATCACAAAACGAAGAACAAATTTTTAATAATAATAAAAAAACTTAATGTACTTATAACCAACGGAGTGTTATCACTTGAAGGGCGGCGATGCCTTCATGGCCAGCTGATGGTTAATTAGTCTTAGTGTGTAGGTTCGTTGGATTGTTTTTTTGGTAAATTTTTGTGTGAGCAGATGACGTAAGCGTAGCGGGTTCGTGAAGGTGGGGGATAGGCATACGAACAACGGCAGGTTCCCTCTTGCTCGGCGTGTCTCACGTCGCTGGGTGATGAGCTTGCCGACACGCTGCCCTTTCCTGGTGCTGCTCGAACGCGCTCAGCGCTGGGAGCCGCAGGCGGCTGCAGGCTCCTTTCACTGCTGTGGGGCAGCGCGACAGCTCCCTCTCCTAGAAGATGCGCGATCACGCTCAGCTGGTTCGCTGACTCTTTTGCTCACGGGCAGCTGGTCAGGCTTTTCCACTGCTGGATGAGTCAAGTCGGCACACGCTTGGCCACTGACAGCAGATGCTCTTGCTTGGCGGCGCTGGTCACGCTGCAGCTGGGAGCCGGCACTCGATGTAGAATAAACTTTCAGCGATACTCTGTCTGCCCATGCTGAACTCAGCACAGAGCACCCCCTCGCCCCCCTTCTCTGCGAGACACAGCACCCATTGCTATTGTCTCGAGACCATGCCTCGAAGCTGGCTTGATGTCTTCTTCCGAACCGCTTGTCACTGTCTCCTGCGACTGGTCGTGCCTTGTTGAAATCGTTTGTCGAGATGATGGTTGAACTGTTATATTCGAAAAAAAATCTCCGCTGTGTGCAGTGGGGGGGCGTGTGTGTATGTCATCCCCTCAAGCCATCTGCGTTATACAATCCTGCGGTGGGGGAGGGGGCGATCCTCCCCGTCCGGTCGGCCCTCCCGGTGTGACCTTTTCTCTTTCCCCAAAAAAGTCCGTTAAGGCTTTTAAAGTTAACATTTATTCCATCACGGTTTGGTATCGTACCACTTGCAGTTATGATTCTGTCTGTGACTCAAGGTATTTGATTTTTATTTTCACGAGGGAAGGTGTTCTCTTGAGCGTATGCCTATTCTTATCACGTGCTGCGGGAAGACAAAGACGGCCGGGAGGCTCTCTCTTTCCCTGGCCCTCGGTTTAACATCTCTCAAATATCATTTGGTTTTATGTTTAACAAGGTTGTGAGTCACCCCGTTATACTGGCCCTTCCTCAGTTTTTATTCATTTTCGTCATTCTGTGTGTATGCTTTATCATTTATATCCTTTTATTTCCGATATCCTGGGTTAAGAGGTAAGTTTCTTGATCCTGGGAATTCGTATTCCTTGGTGTTTGCAAGGTTATATAAACGGAATATAGTTTACGGTGAATAACGTTAATGCTATGTATGACACTTATGTATTGTGTGTGGTTGTTTTAATTACTTGTCCGCCTGCGGTAGTGGGGTGGGGTGGGGTGCCATTATTAAGTCCAGCGCATCGTGTGTGCAGATGGCCTGCACGATAATACATTCTCTTGCTCTGGTGTTAAAATTCCTGCTTCTCCGCGCTGCGGGAAGACAAAGGCGACCGGGAGGTTCTCTTTCTTTGGCTAGCCCTCGGTTTAACGTCGCTCATATCATTTGGTTTTATGTTTAACCAAGATTTGTAGTTATTTCCGATATCCGGAGGTTGGATATATAGCTTAGTTTGGACTTAAGCTTTCGTGATTACAGGAACTCATGTACTTTGGTTCTCTTGGCAAAGTCACGTAGATAGAAGATACAATAAGAAACAATACGTGAGTTGAATAAGGGTGAAATAAAATAAGTACTAATAAAGCCACTAATATAAACTTATTCTTATAGCCAAGCTTTAACTTTTTCCGTGAAGAGAAAAAAATATATATCAGTTATAATGTTTGTTTGCCTTGTGCTCTGTGTCTGTGATTCTGGGTATTTATTTGGGAACCGTTCTTTGGCGATCTGGAGATTCGCAGATAACGTAACCTCTCTCTTTGCCCCGAAGTTTATTATCTAGTTATTTATTTATATTTAATGGCCTTTTTACGCTTTCCATATGCTGTTTGCTGTGGGACTGGGTTTGTGTGTTTTCATTCATTATTTCGGTTGCTATTAACAAAAAAATTATCGGCAAGTATTATTATTAATATCAATTTTGGAAAAGGCCTATAGATACAACAGCCTCGGGGGTGAAGATGCTGCTGCCCCCCGTGCAATTGTCTTCATGTGTGCATTTGTGTTCATACATTTGATAAGCCATTTATTGACATTTATTATTACTGCGCTTCTTATCCCAGGAAAACTTCACTGAGTTTCAAGACTCGTTTTCAGGAGGGTCCTGCCAAGTGTTTGCAGTAGGGGGTCGATGTTGCTATGTGTATGTATTTTTGGTTAATGGGAGGAAGCCGGAGAACCCAGAGGATACCCATGTAGAACAGGGGGGAACGTACAAATGTAGTGGATTCACGGAGAGTGGAGACGACTTGTAGAGGCAACATGTTTATTCCAATAACGGTAACAATAACAGTCTTCCACAAAGGGCAGCGGCCCTTTTACCTACTGCCTGGGGAGGTACGGCCTCCGAACTAGCGTGCCCTATCACTGGGCTACGGGCTCTAAGTCCTCCGGCTACGAGCGACCTAGGGGAGGCTACACTGACCCGACCCAGCCAAGGTACGGGTCCCGACCAGTGGCCCACTCGGTCCCGGCCCTTAAAAGGACGTCGGGCCCAGGAGTTCCCAGGGTCTCACCACTGGCCCACAGAGTCCCGGCCCTTACAAGGGCAGCGGGTCTAGGGGTCCCAGGGTCCTCGGCTAGCTGGTCTTCTGGCTTCGGTTTTCGAACAGGCCCCGGACCCGTCCAGAGGTCCGGCTTTTATACACCTCCCCAGGTGTGTCAGACCCTGGCCACGCCTCCCTTCCAGACAGTTCCAGGGGGGGTCTCGGGGGATCCTAGAACACCCCACAGCCCCCCCCTGCTTTGGGGCTGGGGAATGTAGCGACCCTCATGCCGGTCCAAGTTACTGCCCCTGGTGGGCCCTGTCTGCTACTGCAGGTAAGTATACGTAACCCATTTACAGCGCGACACAAACTCCATTCAGAAAGGCGCCCAAATCGGGAACCAAACCCAGGCCCTTTTTTCTGTGAGGCACGACTGTTACCACCAAAGCATTTCTTCCCAGTCTTTCTTCCGTGGTAAATATTGGTCTCATTCGGGACCTTGGCAACCACACTAGCTTGCAAACACCCAGCGTTCTCCTATGACCTCAACCAGCGCTTAGCACTTATTTTCTGGAGTGCACCAAGCCTGAGATAGGCATCTGAGTGAGATTCCACCTCGATGTGGCAGTGAATTGCAGCTGTTGTCATGCGTCTGCTGTTGTCATAATTTGCGTGCATATAGATTCACTCCCTGCTGCAGCTGGTGCAACAGGAGCAATGCATATACAACGCGGTTTTCCACGAGGTCATCCGGCAGGTCAGCGTGCAGTGCATGGAGAGGGGACAGCTGCTGGCTAAACTGAGGTGCGTTGTGTGAATGTGGTGGGGAACGGTAGTGTAGTGGTTAGTGCGCCATGCTACAAACCCGGTGACCGAATTCTATTCCCGATCACGGCCAACCGGTCCTGGGCCTCCCCGAGGTCTACTCAGCCTCATATGAGTACCTGGTGTGATGTGTAAACATCACCACACGGGAGACAAAGGCGGCCGGGCGTGGTGTTGGCCACCCACCCCCACATTTTCCATCCAGGCCTTCATAGATGCTCAGTAACAGGACTTGCCCCAACAGTCTGTTAAGACTATACGGGGGATATTTGTCCTTGTTCATTAGCATCATCAAGTAACCCCAACTCAAACCCCGAAAATGCATTCCAATGTCACGATTCTTTGTCAATTTGATTCATGATTAATATGTCATCTCCTTTGTCCTGTCTTCTCAATTGTTCTGCTTTGCTCGTACTGTTTTGTCAATTCTGTTCGTCTATAGGTATAATTCTATAATTATTTTGTGTCCGTTTAATTTACCATCGTTCTCTGTGATGTTCACTCTCTCGTCTCACTGTACACGGCGTTTCCGCACAGTCTGTAATAACCACTGTGCATAGTGGTTGTCCTTCCATTAGGCTTTCCCAAGACTCTGTTCTGCCGAGAAAGGGAGTTAATTTACCTGCCAGTTCAATATAGCATCTCAGGACGCAATTGTACGTAGATGCCGCATGCATCCACATCATGCTGTGTTGGTGTTTGGGCAGGGAGCGATACTCGTCCCTTTTGAGCCGCGTGCCAGTGCTGGTTGCCGGGCTGCACGGGGACGTCCTGGCAACCAGAGCCCAGCACCGCCGCCTCATGGAGCAGCTCACAGCTTTCCAGACGTCTGTCAACCGGATGGCCAGGTCACATGGAGCTCTACACAGTCTCAGCAATAAACAGTCTCACCACCACACGGCTTGAACACCACAGTGCTTACACAGCACAGCCTCACCACTACACAGCCTCTACACTACACAGTCTCACCGCCATATGGGCTTGACCCCACACGGGCTGAACGCCACACACCACACACCCTCAACGCCACATAACCTGAACGTCACATGGCCTGAACGTCACACGGTTTTAACACAACTCAGCGCATACACCACACGGCCTCACCACCACACAGCCTCACCACCACGCGGCCTCCATGCCACACAGTGCATACACCACATATACACTAAAGACGTCACACCACATATACTCTAAACACCATTTACCATGCACACCATAAACACCATTTACCAGATGCACCCTTAAAAATCTTTCCATGCTTCTCTGCACACTTTCAATCTTTTGCTGAAAACAGATGCATGCTTGGCTTTACAATGAGACACACAAACAGCAACACATGACTCAGAGAATATTTGCAAAATATAAACAATATTGACTGTTAAGAAACGTACGTGGGCTTGGGTAGGACACATCGCTCGCTACAAAGAACAATGGCCATTGGTCAGGACTAATGGCGGAGTGGCATCCAATCCTTCTTTCGTATAGCTGATGCAGATGCAGAGCAACAACTACAATTTCACATTCAGATCAAGCCAGGTAACTGCGGCGTACGTAGCCAACCGTGCTGATCAAAGGACAATAAAGTAATCACAAAAAAGTGAAAATGCCCACTGTGGAAATGGAGCATCAGCTCGTGTGCAGGAGCTGATTGTTGCATCACAAGACTGGGCGATTGTGACAGCTTGGGGGGAGGCCTGTATCCAGCAGTGGAAAGATAATGGCAGCTGATGATAGTGCCATAAATGAACCACAATACCTTTCTGATCTCGTCATGGAGCATACACCATCACACAAACTCCGGTCATCCTCGCAGTGGCTTTTGGCTAACCATCGAACAAAGATGGTCGCTGTATTGCATGCTTTTAGATGCGCTTCTGTGGCCATCTGGAACACTCTTCCTTCCAATATCATGAAGACACTGGAGTGATGCACTTTTTAATCAAGATTGAAAACTCATTTTTTTAGAACTGATTTTTCTGTTTAGTTTGTTGTCCTTCCCTCGCACCTATGTATAGTTGGAAAGAAGTTCAGTGTACATATTTTCGTACATGCAAGCCTGCTGGAGACACCCTGGACAATAAGGTGCCACACTAACAACGGTAGCCTTGTGGTTCTGCTTGTGCTCAGATATAATTTCTTTGCTTCTGACTGCAGCGAGCTGAGCTCTGTGCGAGAGCGGGACGGCCGGGTGAACGCACAGGCCCAGAGGGAGAGAGAAGACCTCAAACGTGTGCTGAACGAAAGCAGACGGAATGCCAAGTGAGGCCACTTATACCCGAGGCCGCAAACGTGCAGACACATGGAGTCATACCCGTCCACACACACACTCGCAAGTACATGCATTGTACATGCAAAGACACATGTATACACCTAAGCAGATTAACCAAATCGCTGAAGTGTGCCCGACCTCATTACATCTTGGAATCTAAGCAGGACTGAGCCGGGTGGTGTTGGCTACATACAACTGTGATCCAGCACTTTGGAGGCAGCGAGGGTTGGTGGGCATCGAGGAGCCATACCCCTGGCTCGCCAGCAGAATGTGGGATACAAATGAACTCATCGACATCTGTTTCCATCTGTACGGGGATAGAATGTTGTCCCTTTGCGCACACAGGTGTTCTCCAAGTGCTCCATTTTCCTTCCCCATTTATATACACTCGTTATTAATAGGCTGAAAATATATTAAAATAAAAATCCAATGCAGGCCCCTCCTGAAAAGAGTGCCTCGACTGCACGTGGCTCTCCTGGATAAATAAGTAATAATGTAAACGTTCATGATGCTTGGGCTGTTTGATAGTGCCTGCATCCTCATCTAAACTCACTGCACTCCATACAATGTGTACGCCATGTACCGTGCACGAGTGGTGCTTCGCATCACTGTGTCTCCATACAGCCTGCTGGAGGAGTACCACAGTGTGTATGGCCTGCACCGACACCGGCTGGAGAGCAGCATGGGTGTCTTGCAGCGAGAGAGGGATGGCTGGGCCTCCGCTGCGCTGGCTCTGGCATCCCAGGTGTGTGGGTGTGGACGTGTGCTCAAGCGTGGCTGTTGTGAGCAGGGATCGACCTGATGGCCGTGGTTCAGTGGGAGCCATTAAAGTCAAGTTGTTCGTCACTGTACCTTCATCATCAACAACCACTGCCTTTTCGCTGCCGGATTAAGGCCTCCCTGCGCTTGTCACCATTTACTCATGGTCCTGCGATGCCACAGTCGCTGTCAAGTGTGAACTGATCTCATGGCTCGATCTCCATGGTGGGCGGCCTCTTGTGCACATTCTCTTCTTGGCTGCCATTCCTTCACCAGTGTCGTCCATCGGCCATCGTCCTTTCCGGCAATGCGTTACACCCAAATCACCTTCCTCTCTTTACAGTCAATGACCTCTCTGATGTGTTTGTTTGTTCACTGGTCTCTGTGTGCTCCTCTTTCTGAAACTAAAAGCAAAATACCAATGTGCCTAAATAAGAATGGTTTTGGTCAGTGTTTGTCTGTTGCTTGCCATGTCATTTAGATTTGGACACACAGACACTGACAAAAGAAATGTAACATGCTGAAGAGTGCACATACAACTGCACCTCCGATTAGCATAGTTGGCTATGTACAGTGCTAAAGAAGTTCAACATACATTGAGAGGTGCACTCTTAGAATTACACAAAGAGGCAGAAGGAGGAACACATGGATTAGAAAACATACACATGTGGGCATGGGCAGGGAACGTTACCCAGTCGGGATGATAAACGGTTGTCAAGACCAACGATGCAGTGGCAGCCAAAGGAGAAAACATGCCTGAAAGTACGTCTACTGTGGAGTTGGAGCGATGACATATCTTAGTGTGCAGGAGCTAGATGTATTGGTTCATTGCGAGACTCTGAGGGATGGTGACGGCTTGAGGGGCCCTTTGTACAGCAGTGGATAGATGTTGCTTGATGGTGATGATGAAATATTTAACTTAGTGGGTGGCAGAGGTTTACGGACTTTATGGCAGAGTGTGGAAATAATTTTTCACACCCTTATGCTCACCCCCCCCCCCACCCATCTCAACCCGTTAGCTGACGGAGGAGCGTTCCATCGTGACTGTGCGCCGCCTGCGTGGACACTCTCAAGCCTGGGCCAACGTTGCACAGCAGCACTTGCTGCTGCTCAGCAATCGGGTAGCTGCGTATGTGGCAGCCTCTTCCCTATGTGGGTGCATGGTCACGAGGGGAGAGCGGTCTTGTAGCGGTTAGCGCGCTGCGCTATGAACCCGGCGACCTGAGTTTGAGTCCTGCTGGCGGCCAACACCAGTAACGATTATCTGAACCGGTCCTGGGCCTCTCCTTGGCCGACTCAGCCTCAAATGATTACCTAGTACGGTGTGTAAATATCACCACTGGGGAGACAAAGGCAGCCGGGCGTGGTGCTGGTCACCCACCCCCTCGTGTGCCATGCTGGCCTTCATAGATGCTCACTAACATCACTTGCCCCAACAGTGTGTGAAGGCTATAAGGGGGATCATTTTCTTTGTCTTGGTCACATTCATCTGTGTGCATTTGTGCGTTCACTGTACCTATGCATGTGAGTGTGTGTGTTAACGCTTAATCAAAATCAAGATGTCATTGTGGCCACAGTCCTTAATGCCACCTGTGGTGGTTGAAGGCTGGAACTACACCAGGTGTAGCCTCTCCTTCGTGTTTGTAGGTGCCATTCACTCTTGAGATGCTCATCTGCTTTTAATAATAAACAAATTACCCAGGGTCTAACTTTACAGATTACCCAGGATCTAACGCAGGGTTTAACATACACCTCACGCATGGGCACATTTGCACCAGCTTGCATACAAACGTGCTCTTCACTGGTAAACTTGTTTGGATCTCTTAAAAATGAATGGGCCATGTAAATTCACCTTTATACACCAGCCAGGATCCTTGGAAAGCCAACATCGGTACATGGCAAGTTCCATCTGCCTGAATGCTCCCTCTCGGCTCAGCTCTTCCAAAGCTTGGCAGGCAAATTCATCCTCAACAAAACAATCGAGGCCTACACCCCACAATGCAATTCAAATTCAAACCACAATTCAATGCTGGCTTCTAGGTGTTTGCTATTTCTAGTAACACTTAAGCTAAAATCCTATAATGGTGTTTTCATATATGTGCATATATTCCTGAGTGTCTACATCATGGGACCTCCTTTGCCAGTATCAAAATATGATAATAGGCTTTCCCCTTTTTTCTGGCAACAAAACAGGTGTTAAGATGTTAAAACACCAAACTGAAACCTTTTACAAGGAATCATGTCTGCATTAACCACAATGCTTGTGCACTGTGCTTGAAACTGATTGGTCCACACCAGAGACAGCTTTCTGGTGTGGACCAATCGTTTTCAAGGACAATGCATATATTATCAGAGTATGTTTTTTGTTTGCATTCTGACCACAAGCATTGTGGTTAATGCAGACATTATTCCTTGTAAAAGGTTTCAGTTTGATATATTAACATCTTAACACCTGTTTAGTTGCCATAAAAAAAGAAAAAACCTATTATTTAGTGCTTAAACGTATTGCATTCATAGAAGTAAACCTGTATGCCCTCTTGGGTATGTGGCGTCATCATCTTCATCATATCATGTATTTAAATATGTAGCAATCACTGTGTGTGTATGGAGCACATGTGCGTTTGTGTAGAATGCACGTGCACTTGTGTGGGAGTGATGGTGTGTGATGGTGTGTGTGCAGGATGGCAGTGTGGTGGCGGAGGTACGCTCGCTGGTGAGCAGCTGGGCTGAGAAGGCAGCTCGCTTGGACAGAGCCTGCCTTCAGGCTGAGGCCAGCACGGCGGCCAGACTTCAACAGGCTCATCTTGGCCTCCAACGCTGGGTCACGCGTACTACAATCATAACGTAATGCATGCCAGTGCACATTGACAATCAACATGCTCACTCTCGTGGAGTTTGTGCGCTCATTGACATTTTTAAAAATAGGTGACGCCCACGAATATATTACAAATGAAGTCTTGAGTAGCAGATTTCATTATAATCAACGCAGGTCTGTATGTACGTATTTATGCTGAGGAGGCTTGCTAACAGATCATGGGCAGTCGCCCTCCACTATAACAGAGGCCAGAGTAGCGATGCTCACAATAATGAGCGGAGTTCTGGGCAGCTAAAATACAGCAAGTTGGCACAGTAGGGGTCACAGGTGGTACATCTGCCAGTCATCTCAGTTTACCCATGGAACTTGGGTCTCTCCCGTGACCTGTCAGCAAGCCTTCGCCACTTCATGTGGCCTGAAAGTGCACCTGGCCTGGCACAGGCACCGTGGTGAAGTCACCGCCACTTAGTGGTGAATGGCGGATATTAAGTATGTAGAACCTCCTTCACACTGTACGTATCCAACCGTGCTTATCACAGGTGCGGATGGTCTGATCAGGGGAGTCCTTGCTTTGGGCTTCACCTTGCCCACCTGGTCTCCTTCCCCACCCACGGCAGTCTCCTCCCTCTCACTCTGCCCCTTAACTCACCTCTACGCCACTTAAACACTCGCACACCCTCCACACCTTGCGCACTCCCTCCACACGCCCCCTTGCATCAACCCCCCCCCTTGCATTGGCACACCCCCCACACCCGCACACTATCCACATTCTCCACACCCGCACCCTCACACCCCCCGCACCCTCACACCCCCGCACCCTGACACCTCCCGCACCCTCACACCCTCCGCACATCCTCCACAGCTGCACACCCACTACACCTCACAGCCACCCAACCCCCAACAACCTCCTTTTTAGTGTCTCACACCGTGCCTCATTTTCTTCCATCTCATTTGTATGTATGTACGCTGAACTTCTTTTGCACCGTATGTAGCGAACCGTGCTAATTGGAGGTACGAGGGAAGGGCAACAAACTAAACACACAAAGCAGTTCTGAACAAATGAGTTTTCAATCAAATTTGTATTGCCTCAGTGGTATTTTCTGTTTTATTTAAAACATCTGTCACTTCATTGCTATCTCATTTGCCTTAAATAACACGTGTGTTCTGTCAAGCAACAAACACTTCTGGAGCTGCCACCGCATGGGGCCATCCATTTAGTACGTACGCAAAATCTGTCAAAACATGACCCCTCCCTGTACGCACGCGTACTTTTTACACCACCACCCCCCCCCCACCTGCGTATGTACGCTTGATGCACCCCCAGAATCCTATAGAACGGCCGATATTTAACCCACACAGAAACGATCAAGGATTCATAATGTTAACCTGTTTAAGCAAACAGATAGTCCACCGCTGGACTATCTAACTCATTTGAAGGCCAATGTAGACAAATTATTATCGAGTCTTCACGCCCCCCCCCCCCCCGTTTCCAATGCGTACGTACAGTGAGGGAAAAAAGTATTTGATCCCCTGCTGATTTTGTACGTTTGCCCACTGACAAAGAAATGATCAGTCTATAATTTTAATGGTAGGTTTATTTGAACAGTGAGAGACAGAATAACAACAACACAATCCAGAAAAACGCATGTCAAAAATGTTATAAATTGATTTGCATTTTGATGAGGGAAATAAGTATTTGACCCCTCTGCAAAACATGACTTAGTACTTGGTGGCAAAACCCTTGTTGGCAATCACAGAGGTCAGACGTTTCTTGTAGTTGCCCACCAGGTTTGCACACATCTCAGGAGGGATTTTGTCCCACTCCTCTTTGCAGATCTTCTCCAAGTCATTAAGGTTTCGAGGCTGACGTTTGGCAACTCGAACCTTCAGCTCCCTCCACAGATTTTCTATGGGATTCAGGTCTGGAGACTGGCTAGGCCACTCCACGACCTTAATGTGCTTCTTCTTGAGCCACTCCTTTGTTGCCTTGGCCGTGTGTTTTGGGTCATTGTCATGCTGGAATACCCATCCACGACCCATTTTCAATGCCCTGGCTGAGAGAAGGAGGTTCTCACCCAAGATTTGACGGTACATGGCCCCGTCCATCGTCCCTTTGATGCGGTGAAGTTGTCCTGTCCCCTTAGCAGAAAAAACACCCCCAAAGCATAGTGTTTCCACCTCCATGTTTGACGGTGGGGATGGTGTTCTTGGGGTCATAGGCAGCATTCCTGCTCCTCCAAACACGGCGAGTTGAGTTGATGCCAAAGAGCTCCATTTTGGTCTCATCTGACCACAACACTTTCACCCAGTTGTCCTCTGAATCATTCAGATGTTCATTGGCACACTTCAGACGGGCATGTATATGTGCTTTCTTGAGCAGGGGGACTTTGCGGGCGCTGCAGGAATTCAGTCCTTCACGGCGTAGTGTGTTACCAATTGTTTTCTTGGTGACTATGGTCCCAGCTGCCTTGAGATCATTGACAAGATCCTCCCGTGTAGTTCTGGGCTGATTCCTCACCGTTCTCATGATCATTGCAACTCCACGAGGTGAGATCTTGCATGGAGCCCCAGGCCGAGGGAGATTGACAGTTCTTTTGTGTTTCTTCCATTTGCGAATAATCGCACCAACTGTTGTCACCTTCTCACCAAGCTGCTTGGCAATGGTCTTGTAGCCCATTCCAGCCTTGTGTAGGTCTACAATCTTGTCCCTGACATCCTTGGAGAGCTCTTTGGTCTTGGCCATGGTGGAGAGTTTGGAATCTGATTGATTGATTGCTTCTGTGGACAGGTGTCTTCAGGAGCACTCCCTTTAAGAGTGTGCTCCTAATCTCAGCTCGTTACCTGTATAAAAAACACCTGGGAGCCAGAAATCTTTGTGATTAAGAGGGGGTCAAATACTTATTTCCCTCATTAAAATGCAAATCAATTTATAACATTTTTGACGTGCGTTTTTCTGAATTTTCTTGTTGTTATTCTGTCTCTCACTGTTCAATTAAACCTACCATTAAAATTATAGACTGATCATTTCTTTGTCAGTGGGCAAACGTACAAAATCAGCAAGGGATCAAATACTTTTTTCCCTCACTGTACATTGTCAGTAGACCCACCATACGCAAGCGTACACATTTGGGTTCACTCCCCCTCCCCCATCCATGCGTATGTACTAAATGGATGGCCCCCATTCACTTGCAATTGCTGTGGCAAGGATTACCACTCAATGAATGGCCTATTAAATCATTATAGGTGCTGCAAAACCCACAGCTGACTTTGTAAGGCGCAAAAAGATTTTCTCTCGAGACACACAGGCCTATTAATTGATTGACTGTCAACTGTAATTTGTTTGTCTCTCATTGGACTTGCGGGCCATATCAGCCAAAAATGTTTGTTCGTGAACGACACTCGTCCAAACGGTCTATAAAGCAAATACCGGGGATCACTTCAACGAATTAACTTGCATTTGTGTAGTGTCATTGATGACAGCACTATAGTGTAGTGACAGTACCTTGTGAGTGGTACTGTATGGGCGGAGCCTCTCCCTGGCACCTGATGGGCATACCAGGGGAGAGGCTGAGTAAACACGAGGGGGCACGTGACCGGATGAGGTAGTAACGAGGACCAGGGTGAGGGTGAGAGGAACACGTGATGTGGGTTCTGAACCCTCACGAAGGATCTGGAAAAGGGGCGTGGCCAAGGGCGGGGCCTGGCCACGCCGCAGGGATAAAAGGCGAGCCCCAAGGGGGACCGGGGTTGGTCCTGGCTGGGAAGAAACTTTCGTGGTCGTGGTCTTCGGTCTCCGGGCGTCGCGCACGTGGACCATGCAGCATGTTGGCTGTCCTGGTCCGATTTAGTAGTTGTCCCATCCAGAGTGCAAATAGCCATCTCCCCCCAAGTTAAGTGTAGGAACGGTGGGTTACCACCCTATGTCGTTATCCCGTTAGTGTTAAGAGTTTATGTGATGTTAATAAAACGTGTTGCCTCCAAGTTCTAGTGTCTGCCTCGATTGAACCCATTACATTTGTATTGGGCTCGTATATCGCAAAACGAAACATCTCACATTGCAGAGCCGCCTATCAGCAGCTGTCCCCATGCGACACGTGGTGATTAAGTACTTGGCCTGGCGACGGGCATGAGTCTGAGAGTAGGGGGTCATGATTGCTATGTGAGTGGATAATCTTTATAGCACTTTGTCTTTGTACGCATGTGTGTCTTGTGCAGACAAGATGGAGAAAATGGATTTGGTTTCCCAGAGATGAATTTGATGGAAGAGCTTCAGGCTGACTTACAACGCTGGGCTGAGGTGAGAGGTGTGCACGCTGTGTCAACTACGCCTGCATATGTATACAAATACAAAGACACAAATCCCCCGTATAGCCTTAACAAACTGCTGGGCCAAGTGCTGTTAGTGAGCTCTTATGGAGGCTGGCACAGTACACCTGTATCATAGATACACGAGTATAAATTGCAGAAGTACATCGATTTCTGCCGATTTTTCAACACTAAGTGCAAGTTTGGGTAAGGCAGCAAAACAACAACAAAACCAGTCCCAGACCTCACTAAGACAACAAACAGTAGCTCAATAAGATTGCACATTAAACTTGAACTATTGATACAAAGTAAAGATCAAAGTTACAGTACTCATCTTCTGCTTCAGCATATTTTGTGAAGGAAGATGTACGGTGTTAAGGCAGGAAACAAGGTGGTTCCAACACGTTACTGCTGCAATGGCAAAGGCTATCATTTGAGCAAGGGACTCACTTTGACTCTTTTCATAATAGAAGAGTTTATATCTTGAAATGTTTACTGTACAAAGTGAAGTTGCTCAGACCCCATCACCGCCCTCTGGCGTGTGTGGACAGAGCCTGGCGGAAGATCTGGAGCGCTTTGGTGGAGCTGAAATGCTGGAGCTCACGAAGGAGCTCGCCTCTCTGGGGTCCATGTCAGCTCGGCTCACAGTGCTCTCTCAAACTCTCCATCACGAGCATTGCCATGGCCATGTTACTGCTCGTCAAATTGATTACAAGGGGGAAGAGCATAAGTCTGCAATCGAGGATCTGCAGAAAAGACAAGTGAGCGATTTTAACGGTTGTCAGTGCCGCACTGATGAGGAACAAAGCATTAGTGATGGTGATGGCAGTGTAGCAGCGGAGGCTGGAGAGGGGTGGGAGCGTGTGGCTGGGAGGTTGGAGCGAAGCGTGCGGTTCTTGCATGCCAGGGTGACCGGCGATAATGGTATGTGTCACTGTGAGTGTTTGGTATGCATCATACACATTCATGTGCTCCCTTCATCATCCAACGCCAGCAGCTACCATGGTTACTGGTCCCATGAGCTTCGCCCATTGATTCTTACACCCATGTTGAGGACTTGGTCTACTATTCTGACTTGTCTTCTTTGGTTCTTTCGGTAAAGTCACGTAGAATGAGAATAAAATAATAAATTGCTAAAATAAAATAACACAATAAAATTCTCACGACGTTTCGGCCACAACACAAGCGGCCTTCATCAGGTGAAGGGATGAGACTGTCTGGAGGACAGCGCTGGAGCGAACAAAGCCAAGCTCAGATCGCGACCTTTAAGCTGTGTGAGAAGAAACAGAGCGCCTTGACAAGGAATTAGCATAGAATTTAGCATTGAAATAGCTGAGTGATTAGCTTGTGACTGGTCGCAGAAATGGCTATGTTAAAGTCAAAGCATACACATCCACAGAGGCACCCCTTGACAAAGGAATTAGCATAGAATTTAGCATTGAAATAGCTGAGTGATTAGCTTGTGACTGGTCACAGAAATGGCTATGTTAAAGTCAAAGCATACACATTCACATAGGCACCTAGTACAAATCAAACAGGAGAATTTAGCATTGAAATAACTAGGAGAATTTAGCATTGAAATAACTGAGTGATTAGCTTGTGACTGGTCACAGAAATGGCTATGTTAAAGTCAAAGCCTACACATCTGAGCTATTAACAGTAACTGGGTATACACTACACTATATAATGAATACTATATAGTAAACCAATAAAAAACTAAAATCTAAATTACCTCAAGGTTTTCAATAAACTCTATATATTCTCCAATCAGCTAAGCTACCAACAATAAGTCGTTATATATCACAATGCTATATGGCGAAAACATGGGTGGATTCTTACCCTCAACTTTAGCACCACGGATAGCTACGAGCCCCGTTCAGACGGACGAGTTCATCCATGGTCGGAACGGAGGAGGGGGAGAGAGACAGCTGCGAGGCGCTGTTATCCTCCATGTTGTAAACCATACCATTAACCGTGGTGTGAGAGGTATTAAGAGTCAATGGCAGCGAAAGAGCTGCGGTCTGAAGGTCATCGTAAAATACAATTAATTAAGAACGGAAATGGTTTAAACATCTTTCCAATGGTTACTAAGCCAGAATCCATCTTCTCGGTTGAAATTGTCTCTGTGCTTGCATATGTGAATGGCCTCATGAACGAATCTCTCATGGTAGCCGGTTGGTTTGCAAAGAACCTCCGTCTTGGAGAAGTCAATGTCATGTGAGCCCACTGAATTATAACAGTGATCTGCTACAGCAGAGGAGTTCGTTCTACCGTGTTTCATGTCTGCTTTATGTTCGTGGATGCGGTCCGAGATATGTCGTTTGGTTTCTCCAATGTAGCTACTACCGCAGAGGCACTTTAGTTTGTAAACGCCCGGGTACTGTATGTCTGGAACAGCATCTTTTACAGATGGAACCAGATCACGGATTTTATGTACTGTGTTGAACCGGACCTGGATCTTGTGTTTATTCAGGATTTTGGAGATATTTTTAGTGACCCCTGCAATGTAGGGTAAGGTGATGGTTTTGAGTGGCTCCACAAGAGGATCCTTCTTCATGACTGGAGTGATGGCTTTGCGGATTGTGTAGTCGGAGTAACCATTAGCCATCACTCCAGTCATGAAGAAGGATCCTCTTGTGGAGCCACTCAAAACCATCACCTTACCCTACATTGCAGGGGTCACAAAAAAGATCTCCAAAATCCTGAATAAACACAAGATCCAGGTCCGATTCAACACAGTACATAAAATCCGTGATCTGGTTCCATCTGTAAAAGATGCTATTCCAGACATACAGTACCCGGGCGTTTACAAACTAAAGTGCCTCTGCGGTAGTAGCTACATTGGAGAAACCAAACGACATATCTCGGACCGCATCTGCGAACATAAAGCAGACTTGAAACACGGTAGAACGAACTCCTCTGCCGTGGCAGATCACTGTTATAATTCAGTGGGCTCACATGACATTGACTTCTCCAAGACGGAGGTTCTTTGCAAACCAACCGGCTACCATGAGAGATTCGTTCATGAGGCCATTCACATATACAAGCACAGAGACAATTTCAACTGAGAAGATGGATTCTGGCTTAGTAACCATTGGAAAGATGTTTTAAACCATTTCCGTTCTTAATTAATTGTATTTTACGATGACCTTCAAACCGCAGCTCTTTCGCTGCCATTGACTCTTAATACCTCTCACACCACGGTTAATGGTATGGTTTCCAACATGGAGTATAACAGCGCCTCGCAGCTGTCTCTCTCCCCCTCCTCCGTTCCGACCATGGATGAACTCGTCCGTCTGAACGGGGCTCGTAGCTATCCGTGGTGCTAAAGTTGAGGGTAAGTATCCACCCATTTTTCGCCATATAGCATTGTGATATATAACGACTTATTGTTGGTAGCTTAGCTGATTGGAGAATATATAGAGTTTATTGATAACATTGAGGTAATTTATATTTTAGTTTTTTATTGGTTTACTATATAGTATTCATTATATAGTGTAGTGTATACCCAGTTACTGTTAATAGCTCAGATGTGTAGGCTTTGACTTTAACATAGCCATTTCTGTGACCAGTCACAAGCTAATCACTCAGTTATTTCAATGCTAAATTCTCCTAGTTATTTCAATGCTAAATTCTCCTGTTTGATTTGTACTAGGTGCCTCGGTGAATGTGTATGCTTTGACTTTAACATAGCCATTTCTGTGACCAGTCACAAGCTAATCACTCAACTATTTCAATGCTAAATTCTATGCTAATTCCTTTGTCAAGGGGTGCCTCTGTGGATGTGTATTCTTTGACTTTAACATAGCCATTTCTGTGACCAGTCACAAGCTAATCACTCAGCTATTTCAATGCTAAATTCTATGCTAATTCCTTGTCAAGGCGCTCTGTTTCTTCTCACACAGCTTAAAGGTCACGATCTGAGCTTGGCTTTGTTCGCTCCAGCGCTGTCCTCCAGACAGTCTCGTCCCTTCACCTGATGAAGGCCGCTTGTGTTGTGGCCGAAACGTCGTGAGAATTTTATTGTGTTATTTTATCAATTTATTATTTTATTCTTATTCTACGTGACTTTACTGAAAGAACCAAAGAAGATGAATCCTTGCAGTCAAGAAAGCTTTAAATCGAAATATTCTGACTTGATTAATCTCATACATACTTTGTTCAATTTCAACTACCATACTTCCAGTTAAAACAACACACTCGACCACTCTTCACTCACCCTGTTATCCACCAACTCACCCATCCACTCATCCACCCACTCACCCGCTGCTTCTTCACTCACATTGCTCCCACTTTGAAACTCCCTGCCATTTTTTCTCCAAGCTCTTACAATAACCTCGCTAAATTCAAGACACGTGTTAACTTATCAATTTCAACTGAGATAGTGCTGTTTGTTGCTGTCCCTTTGATATTTTGGACCTTTGGGCCTGTTGTCAACAACTATGTAAAAAAAGAAATCTGATTGTGTTGCATGTAAATATGTATGCAATCTTCTTTGGTTCTTTCGGTAAAATCACGTAGAATGAGAATAAAATATTAAATTGATAAAATAAAATAACGCAATAATATTCTCACTGGTGAGAATATTCTCACTGGTGAGAATATTATTGCGTTATTTTATTTGGTGAGAATATTAAATTGATAAAATAAAATAATGCAATAATATTCTCACTGGTGAGAATATTCTCACTGGTGAGAATATTATTGCGTTATTTTATTTTATCAATTTATTATTTTATTCTCATTCTACGTGACTTTACCGAAAGAACCAAAGAAGATGAATCCTTGCAGTCACGAAAGCTTTAAATCGAAATATGTATGCAATGACAATGACAAAAATCCCCCATATAGCACCCCAACACATACATTTGATGCCAACACCCACAAACACAAGCGTATTGATTCCCTTTGCACTTTTGTCTCACTAGAGTGTGTGTGTGTTTTCCTAGGACTGGCAGACACACTTAAGGATCTGTGCCGCGCATTTGAAACCTGGTCTGAAAAGCTGGCCCTGGCCTCCTCGTATGCACACGCCATGCCAGCTTCTGATTGGTTGCAACTCGTTAAGTCCCTCTCAGATTGGTCAGTTGTTGTGATCAAGGCCCTGGTGTTGGTTGAGAACGTACCATCTGAAGAGAAGAGCGAGAGGTGAATAGTGTTTTCAATACTCGGGTGCACATCTCCTGTTTACAGCCCTGGGCCAGTGGTGGAAATTCCACCTTCCTATGGCAGGGGCGAGTCTTCCCATAAGACAACCACGATTGACTTCCCCACAAATTGGTACCTATTTATCGGCCCCAGAGAGATGGTGGGTAGCGTTAACCTCAACCAGGATTTCTAACTCGCAACATTCCGATTGCGAGCTGCTCACTACCACCGAGTCATCTTTCCAGTGTCTGCAATATTGGCAGTGATATTTGGTGGCTTTGAGCTACGGGTATGTGACCAGAGATTGGCACATATGATAGTCATAGTCAGGCCTGCCCAGAGGTGGGGGGCAGAAAGGACAATTTTTCCCCAGACCCCAGATAAAAGAGGGCCCCACAGCGAGCCTGCGGATTGTGGGATAAGGGGACCCCACGTAGCATTCTGCCCTGGGACCTCCGGAACCTCCGAGTAGCCCCAACCATAGCCTTTGTGTGCAAGTGCCAGGCGGTGGTAGCGATGCACATGGCCTGTAATCCAGCACTGTGCAGGCAGCGAGGGTTGGTGGATCGCACACAAACGTTGTGAAACTCCCTTCCAGTGGGCATTCGAGGAGTTGCCATACCCTGGCTCGCCAGGCGAAAGTAGTACAGCAAGTGGACTAATCTCCATCTGTTTCCATCTCTACAGGGATATAGTGTTATAATTATTCAAAGATGCTTTTTACCATTGTTACTGCGAAGTCTGTCCAGATGAATAAGTATGTTTGCCTTTTGATTGGCACAAGTGTATGTGTGTGAACATGCAGTATGAGAAGTGGAAGTGTAGCAGTTAGCACTTGTGACCAACATCAGTGACAATTATCTGAACCGACCCTGGGCCTCCTCTAGGTCCACTTAGCCTCAAATTAGTACCCAGGGTGGTCTGTAAACTTGGTCAATGGGGAGACAAAGGTGGCCGTCGTGGTGATGGCCACCCCCCTCGTGTGCCGTGCCGGCCTTAATGAGTGCTTGCTAACAGCACTTGCCCCAACAGTCTGTTAAGGCTACATGGGGGATCTTTGTGTTTTTATGTATTTATAGTGGAGCGATGGATGCCGTGGTGGGTGCACTACAGGGCTGGGCGGGGCGTTTGTCGATGGCAGTGGATCGAGAAGCGTCCAGGCTGGCAGAGCAGGCGAGTGGCGTGCCCGTGTTAAACTCCACACATACCGGTCACACGCTATTGTGACGAACGACATCGGCGTGCCATCATAGCCAAAGTTGTTGACGCCACCTCACGTTTCTACCCTCTGCCAGGTCCCGCAGCTACGGCACAGTAGACACACAGCGACCTCCATCTGGCCCTAGGTTTCTCCCTTAGTCGCCTCGGTGGCATGCTGCGTTGGCGAGGTGTTAACTACCTCGCCTAGTTTCGAGGTGGTCATGGGTTCGATCCTGACCCTGACGCCTGTATATTTGGATTTTGCATGTCTCTCTCACCGTGGTCACGTGGATTCTTCTCTGGGTCCTCTGGTTTTTCCCTCCACATTTAGAAACATGCATTCAGAGTATTTGGCCATCTATAAATGTCGACAAGATAAGCCACTTCGTTGCACTATAATTTGTGGCCAGGTCACTACTGAAAAAGAGCTACATAGCTCAGTGGGCCTTACCTGTAAAAAAATAAAAGTTTCATAGTTTAGCTTAGACCATTCAAATGTTGTCTCAGCAATCGACCCTCCCTCATCCCGCACACGTTCCACCCAGCATGGCTAATGTTGCTGAATCGCATCTACAAACCTCACCTGTGGTGTTCTCCTGTGAACTTATCCTGTCTTGCCTCGAAATCCCTAGCATCCGTCTCAGACTCCTGTGCTCAAATGGCAACAAACCTCTTTTCGAGCTGCTTAGTATTCAGCTCTCTGATCCAGACAGTAATACTGATAGCGCAGGCATGACTCTGTGGAACGCGGCCAGAGAATTATACATACAGTATGTACGAGGAAGCCAAATTGCTTTTACCACATACAGATGAAACGTTCAATCGCATCGTGTTTTACATATTGTATTTGTACATGCACAACCCCTTTTGCAATCTACTGATCGATGTATAGTACTTATATGCTCCATGTCTATGTTTCCCAACTTTGCCAGCCCACACTGACCACCATGGTTAAGTACCATCAAATAACCCCCATTACCCTCACGGCATAGGGAGGCCCTCATCCAGCAGTGGATTGACAGGGCTGTGCACACAAATAATGATGACAGCAGTGACAATGATCCGAGCAACACTCGCAATGAAGATTGACGCTTTGTGCTGCAGTTGGGTATGGTGCGGGAGGGCGTTTCGTCGTGGCTGGTGAGGGCTGTGCTCCACCTCGCCTCCCCATCATCACCATCACAACGAGGGGAAGGGGACGGCGAGGGTGAACGTGGCAAGGCCATGCTGGAGAAGGCGTCGTCTCTCGGTGGAGCGATGTCGCACATCACTCAACACATTGCCAGGTGAGAACACACAGTCACTGCCTTTCACTCTCTTCATCATCATCACTTATCACCTTCGTCATCGTTATCATCATCTTTACCTCGATGGAAATTATTGGAACTTCGAACTGTTGCAATTACTTCCGCACGGTGCGAAAGAAGTTCAACATACATATATTACGATCACCGGTGTAAACTTACAATGCTATTCAGAATTACCGCAACATTCAATCTGGTTATGCTGTAGTAGAACACATTTTTTTAAATCGTGTTATTCGGTGGAGTCTTGGGCATGTGGCTGTATGTCCTTTCTATGTCCATCACACCGTGGTGTAGTGATGACCACATTTTATCCCCTGCCTTTATTCACACAGCCTTGGAGAAATTAATGTCAACGTGATTGCCGCTTCCTTTTTCACATTCAAGTTCAATCTTCGTGTAGCCTAAACTGCTTGCAGTTGATGTAATTTTCCACTCCAGGTTGTTTTGTCAATTCGTGCCATCACAGCAAATGCTTTACAAAGGTGGCAACTGCAACACACCCTGGCACCCGTAATGTTGCACGCTCAGTATCGTATGCAGCGTGGGTGCACGCATTGGAACTAATTGTGGCTTCAGCAGGCAGCTGATTTTATGCGTTTAGAGTATTGATCAATCATTTGTGGCCAGGTCGCTTCTGAAAAAGCTAATAGCTCAGTGAGCCTTACCTGGTAAAATACAAATACGTGACTTATTTTTTTCGTGTGATTTGCTTACCTTTCCTATACTTTTCACTCCTTTTGTGTTTTTGTATTTCTAACCCACCCTTTCTGGACAGCTTTATAGTGCATCGGATTCCTCCAGTATAAATAAATATTATTATTTAGTTTTCTTTTAAAATGCATAAAGTGGCCATACTGGCTACTTGAGGCTTCTAAAAAATGATTACGGTATATCACTACCTTGCCCACTGCTTTGCCAAGCACATGTGATTTTAATGCAAATCAGAATGAGAATCTTTATTTATGGTGGAGGAATCGAATGAGCTATACAGCTCTTTTTCACAGACTACCAGTAGGATTGCCTTGGCACCACCACAGTGTTTTATGGTGAAACAGTGTATTTGTGCTTACCCATCATGCGGAACATATTCTCCACTGAGAGGGTTGACCACACATTGATTAAATAACCCATACAAAAAATGTTTTGCAAACTGCCCAAATTTGATTAACTAATAGTGCTTTTAAATAACATGTGGTGGTTTTTATACGTACTTTTTTTATCAACAAAGTACTTCCTGACATGCAAATCACATAGAATACTCCCGACCTCATCACATCGCAGAAGCTAAGCAAGCAGGTTTGAGCCTCGACATTGCATGGATGGGTGACTACCAAGCACATCAGCTTGTCATAGGCAGCTGCGGGGCTGTGCTCTGTGGTGGGCAGCAGAGGTCAGTGCAGCAAAATCCCTTGTTGTACTGTAATTTCCATGTGCCCCATATCTATGCTCATTATCCTCACCAACCCACACTGACCAACGTGGTGACGTACGGTCAAATAACCCCCGTGACGTAATTGTAAGTTTATTTTAATTTCTTACACGGATGATCCCATTTCGCCAGTTATCCAGCTATCTTACAAGGGAGATCCGTGGTGCTGTGTGATCATAGTGGCAACAAAACAAATGCAAAAACGTCAATGTTGCAGAGAACGAGCACCAGGTCCTTACGGAATATTGCGCAATTAATGAACAAGGCATTGATGGTCATAAACGAGGTATTGCATGGCGTGGCGAGACCCTCATCCAGCAGTGGATAGACAACATGGCCATCCCGGGGTTAAGCGCAGTGGTTAACGCACTGCGCCGTGAACCTAGCAAACGGTATGCGGCAAGCACCAACAGCTGTGTGCGTGTCGAGGTTATGGAATTATCTTCAGTGTGACGCTCGCCGCTGTGGTTGTGCAGATGCTGTGAGGCTGTGGCGGTGTCAAGTGGAGGCAGCAGAGAGGGCATGGTGTTGCGAGACCTGGAGGTGGGGACATTGCCTCAGTGGTCATCATCTGTGTTATTCTTATGTTTGTTGAGTGGCTCGTGGAGATAATGCTCTGCTTGTATCAGTTTGGCAAGCACTGCTCAGATTGCGGGGGTCAATCTCTGGGCCCCCAGTGCCATGGTGGCAAGATGTTAATGACCTCGCCTGGTATACAGGAGGTTGTGGGTTCGATCCCAACCCTGACGCCTGTATATTTGGAGTTTGTATGTTCTCCCCGTGGTCACGTGGATTTTTCTCCACCGGTTTTTCCCTCCACATTTAGAAACGTGCGTTTAGAGTATTTGGATATTATAAATTTCCACATGATAAGCCACATCATTGAGCTATCATTTATAGCTAAGTCACTTCTGAAAAAGAGCTACATAGCTCAGTGGACCTTACATGGTAGAATAAAAATGAGTTTATAGTTTTTAAAGACCAGCATGTGTGTGTGTGTGTTTAAATGCAGGTCGTTTGTCTTTCCCCCCCAATGTTTTATCCCGATTTTCTCCTCCTGTGATCCCTTCAAATGACCTGTAGCCCACACGGTAGGGGCAGCACTTTCTTAAATGCCCTGCAACAAAGAGTCAGAATCAGAATCTGTATTTCTCCTGGAGAAATCCGATGAGTGTTGAAGCTCTTTTTCACAGATGTCCAGCAGGGGCAAGTCAGAACGTTACAATAACAAACAATATAAAAACGATAGGAGTGCAAAGTATAGGAAAAGTAAAATCACTAAAAAAATAATTAAGTAAAAAGTTGCAATTGAATAAGTAAACCAATTCCCAAGCTTGGACAAGGCAGTAAAAACAATAGCAAAATCAGTCCCAGATCACACCAAGAAAACAATACATAGTCCGTCTATAACAATGCACATTAACATTGAACTATCGATACTGCACGGGTAAGGATGAAAGCTAAAAATTACATTTGCAAATGCAATTGTAATGTTCGTCAAAAGACAGTGAAGCAGATATTTAACAATTTCATTCTCGTTTTTTTCTACATCATTATGAGCATACTTGCGTGCGAGTGTGCACGTGTTTTGCGTTCACTGAATATTTTCGTGCGGTTTTTCACTTATCATAGGTGGAATATTCTGAATGGATGGAAGTTAGTCAACTGTTGCTGCTTGAACTATCGTCTCATCAAATCCCTCCAGCGGACACTGCCGAGGTGACCGCTGTTTGTCTGCGGTTGCGCCGTCCACATTCAAAAGTCATCTTGTGTGCAAATCAGCCACGATATCTCTGGATTCACCTCACTCAGTCTGGAGAATAGGACCGAGTGATCACTACACACGTTTCGTCACTGTGAATAATTCCGCTTCATCCCTACTGCACAAATCACATTTTTCTGTGACTGACATCTTTTACATGATGGTGCGATTGGAAACGGTATTTTTGTGCTTGTCTCCGATCACGTGGGAGGCCCTCATCCACTCATCCAACAGTGGATTGACAAAGGGCTGTACATGTTCAAGATAAATGTGGTATGTCATGTATACAATGTGAAATGTCAATCATAATAATCATCAGAAGGGCTTGTTATAACAATCCCAAGGGCATCCTCCAGTCTGCAATTATGTCTGATTAATGTTTCCTACACAACCACAACAGTGTCCACGGGCAACTCGGATATTGGTGATATCTGAATCGCAGCTTTGATCTGTGCCGCATCATCATGCATCATGTGGGACATGAACAATGTGTGTCAACGTAGCGGCGCCACTGCTGGGCAATAGGGAGCACTTTCCCTTGTCTGTTTGCCACCATGGCAACCTGTGAGCAGATGCCACGAAGGAACCTCCACATTACCAACACGCAGAGTGCTGTGCCCTCTGCGTGTGCGGCGTGAGATGCGATGCAGACGTCGCATTGTAACATGCACCACCCCCCCACCAACCCATGTAGCTGCGTGCCTCCATCTGTCCTTCATATCCGGGTAATGCTGACCTATGCGCACATGAACCATGGGGACAAATATAGGGATGTGTAGCTCGAATCAGGATCTGTCACGCATTTGGTTTGAAAGTGATTAAAAACCAGTGTATGTAAAAATGTTGAACTTTCGTTCCGTACGTAGCCAACCATGCTAATTGGAGGTGTGGGAGAAGGATAATAAATTAAAGAAGTAAATTTTCAATCTAGATTTAAAAGTGCATAGCTCCAGTGGCTTCCTAATATTGGAATAAGTATATCTGAAAGTGTAGATTTCTTGGCGATGTTTGCAGACTGAAGACAAATGTTCGGACGCTACGGAGAAGAGTAGCCCCACCGTGCAGGTGATCGGACACGACGCTAACGTGGAGGCCAGATCCCTGAGCAAAGAGATGTCCGCACTCGCATTGGTATGGCTCCACAGCATGCACAACGCTTGCAGAGTTAGAGCGTACGGTGGCATCTCGAACTAACATTCTTCAGGGGGACTGGAAAAATGTATCATTAGATTGGATATTTCCTGCCGTGAAAAGGCATGCATTTTATGCTGTCTGATTTTCATTCTCTGCTTCTCTTTCTCTCGCTGCCTCTGATGCTGTACTTTTCACTTACAATCTACTAATTCTGCAGCCCTTTTTGTGCAGTGTTTACGACTGTGCATCTCAGTGCTGCGTCTATCTCTGCTTCTCTCTCAGTACAGCTCCTTGCCTCTCCTTGTCTCTGCTTGCATCTCCATGCCGTGAGTTTCTGCTTCCAAAAAACGCCTTCGGTTTAGAGCCTTGCAGCTCCTCGCGCATTTCTTCTTCTTCACGAAACCCAATGTAAAATATTGTAAATATCACGTTGAGTTGTTGATACAGATGGCAGCTGAAACGAACGCAGCATTTACAACATAAATTTTACAACTGCAATGGTGATAGTTTCTGTCACGCTGATAAAGGCACATACGGGTGCTTATGATGAAGTGATCTCGATTGCAATTAACATTTTATAAATTTTACTTGTTTAGCTTTCCCGTCATACACTGGCTTCTGAGTCACCAATCAAACGCACAGTCGTGAGATGTGCAGAGCAACGCTGCAGCATCAGGGTATCCGTGTCCCAGAGCCTCCGTGTGAATCACGCAACGAGCTCTCAAGGTTATCTTGTCTACCTGCCAGCTTTGTAAGCCCAGGAAAGCCAGCGTAATCCATGCAAGGTATCGCCGCGTATTAATCTACAAGCACAAGAGACCTTCCCTGAATCACATCCTAACAAGAAGGCTGGTGGCAGAATGGTTAAGCCCCTCTCTTTGATGTATTGTCCACACCCCAGAGATCTTTTATCCTCTGTGTAGACATGCATTTCACCTGGCAGCCAGCTGGCATCGGGGGCTATAAATTATTTATGGTCGGGCCCTGGAGATTACTTTGCATTCCTATGAGAAAAGTGAACCGCGTTTTATTAAAACGTTAGTTAGCACGACCAATTGCATTAAATTTCCTCGCTCAAGATAAGCGATGCTCCTGTAGCATACGTCATTTGCTATAGATTTGTTTACATCGATGTTTACGTTGTGAAAACCCAGTAAACCCTACATTGGACGTACTGCTGAAACAACTCATGTCGGCAATGTTAGTTGATCATTTGAGCTGTTTTTGCAGACACAAAGGAGGATTGTTATCGCGACGGGCACTTGCATAGTTTTAAATACAAATAATTTTATCTGCTTGCAATCCTCTTTTGTAATGTTGTGTTTGCTTGTACACAGGGTCAACAACTTCAGACATATAATGCGATGGCTACAATCAAGCAGCTACAAGCACAGATATTGTGAGTAGAAATAAATCAAGCACCCAACATCTTAACTGTTGAATCTAATTTACAAATGATATGAATGTTTTCTTTGTTGTGTAAATATCATATCGGTAATTTTAACATTATTCAGTCCATATCAGTACATGTCGAAGTCAATCATTAGCAGCCATTGTCTATCCACTTCTGAATGAAGGCCTCCCCACGCCGTCACCATCCTTCATGGTTTTGCGATGCCACAATCCATATTCCATGAAGTCTGGTATTGATGTGCAGGGTGATCCAATTGTAGATGCCCCCTTGAGATATCAATCACCTCAGCTTACATCTTGTGGAATGCTGTGAGATGATCGCACCAGTCAAGTTGCACAAAGTCTACCCGGAGCAAGGCCACTCAGAGGTTTCGGAGATCCGGTGCAGAATTCAACGTGGGGCCCCCCTTTATCCCACCATCCACAGGATCGCTGCGGGGGCCATCTTCTGTGTGAGGCCCAGCTCATTACCCCTTCTGCCCCCCTCCTCTGGGCGATCCTGAGCAGAGGGTTAAAAGATTGATCGAGTGATTGAGATTGATGGGAGACGCGTAGAGGCTTGGAAGTACAAATTTTCTTCCCTTTAACGTTTCCCTTTCTTTTCTTTTTTTATATTTCACCTGGATATTCCCTCGAGATGGCATATTATCGAGGGTGTCAAGTGACACCCACAGTTTGCAAGCACGTGATCACGTGTACGATTTAAATCTATACCATCTACTGAATGCATTTATACAATTAACATCGTGGGATCTCACTCTGCACTAAGATATAAACTAAAACTATTTTAATTTGACCAGGTAAGGCCCACTCAGCTATGTAGCTCTTTTTCAGAAGCAACCTGGCCACAAATGACAGCTCAACAAAGTGGCTTATCACGTGGAAATCTATTGCAGCCAAATACTCTAAGCGCATGTTTCTAAATGTGGAGGGAAAAACCGGAGGACCCAGAGAAAAATCCACATGACCATACGGAGAGAGACAGGCAAAATACAAATATGCAGGTGTCAGGGTCGGAATCAAAGCCACAACTTCCTGTATACCAGGCGAGGTAGTTAACATCTCGCCACCGTAGTGTTCCACTTGCTCCAATTGTCCCTCTGTGTGGGCTCAGCCGCATTGCTTGCCTCTTGGCAGCCTGGGGGAAGCAGGCAGGCAAGGTTCCTGAGCATTGAGGTTCCTTGCAAGGAGCTGTGCTGCTGACCCCTACAGGAGTACGGAGGCGCGGGCGCAGAGCGCGGAGGAGCGCGTGGCTCAGCTGCAAGAGCAGTTGCGCACAGCTGCCGACAGGGGGGAGAGAGACGCGAGCAAGGACGGGCTGGGACAGAGCGAGGAGCGTGGAGGAGGACGAGGGAGAGCGGTTCCTTATGTGGAGGAAGTCGCTTCCACCGGTACAGCTGCCGACGGTGACGGTGAGACCACTGCACCGACGCGCACATGCGTCGCCCCACACCCGTGCAGCTCTAGGCGCTGGGGCCTTGGGGGGACTTTCCCAAAAATAAGCGGATCAGAGTGCTCAGAAAAGGGGCCCTGGTATCGTCGTCGTAGGCATCAATAGGAAGTAAAAACAGATTTAGCAACGCAAAGTTTTTTCATTGTCAGTACAAAAACTCTCAGCCTGGTCCAGACCAGCAGTGCAATAGAGCAGAACTTGTGCCCATTTTGTTGTTTAGATCGCCAATTCAAAGAGCTGATATAATAGTCTTTGGATCTTCGGGTAAAGTCACATAGATAGGTTCAAAGAAAATAACAAAAAACTACGACGTTTAGATCACAACACAAGCAATCGTCATCAAGGGGAAAAAAGAGGGGGAAAGCAGCTGAGGCAGACTGGGTGTAGCCCAAGGGTCATACACGAAGTGGGCAGGGCTAGTGATGTTAATGTGAGAGATTAACATGTTACTGTGAGAGATTAGCATGTTAATGTGAGAGATTAGCATGTTAATGGAAGATCGCAGAGCAGCAACGTCGAGTTCGGAGAGCGAGGTGGCTGTGTTGGTGTCAGATATTTAACCTGTGAATGTAAAATCAGAGCGTAAAAAATAACTGCTAACAACGGCAGGTAGGATGGAAACATCACAGCCAGTTATGACTTAAACTGGTTAATAACGTCCTTCCAATCATTGTTCAGTTTGTACTCATCTTCTCGGTTGAAATTGTGTCTGTGTCTTTATATCTGGATGGTTTCATGAACGAATCTTTGTTTATAGCCAGTGGGTTTGCAGAGTACCTTCGTCTTTGAGAAATCAATTTCGTGTGAGCCCACCGCATTAAAACAATGATCAGCCACGGCCGAGATAGTGGTCGTACCGTGTTTCAGATCTGCCTTATGTTCACGAATACGGTCCGAGACATGTCACTTAGTTTCCCCCAATGTAACTACTGCCGCAGACACAGCTTAGTTTGTAGATGCCGGGGTATTCCATGTCAGGGATCACATCCTTCACAGATGGGATCAGATCACGAATTTTACGTGCTGTGTTGAATCGAACCTGGATCTTGTGTTTGCTCATGATTTTTTAGATCTTTTTGGTGACCCCTACTATGTATGGCAGGCAAGGTGATGGTTTTGATTGGTTCCTCAGATGGTTCTATCCCAACGGTTGGGGTGATAGCTTTACGGATTGTGTAGTCTGAATATCCATTCATCTTGAGAGCTTGGTGTACGTGTTTCAGTTCACTGGCTCGGTGGTGATGGTCGGAAATACATCGAGCTGTATGGTGTAGAGTTTTGATGAGGGAATTCTTCTGGGATGGTTAGTGGTGGGAGTCAGGTTTTAGGTAGGCATCCGTATGGGTTGCTTTCCTGTAGACAGTGTCCCATTGAGCCATCTGGTCTGTTTTCGATTAAAACATTCAAGAATGGTAACTTACATTTACATGCAAATTTCTCACTTTAGCATCACTAGCCCCGGCCACTTCGTTTATGACCCTTGGGCTACACCCATTTCAAACCTGTAAAACAGCCTGCCTCAGCAGCTTTCCCCCTCTTTTTGTCTCCTGATGACGATTGCTTGTGTTGCGATTGAAACGTCGTAGATTTTTGTAAAAATACATTTGTTCTAAGTGACTTTACCGAAAGACCCAAAGAATATGAATTCCTGCAGTCGCGAAAGCTTTAAGTCAAGATTTATCTCATCACTTTATCTCATCACCCTCATCGCTTTATATCTCATCCCTTTCTTTCTCTCTCGATGCAGTTGTGCAGAGTTTCAGATGCCATTCGCGGATAGACAAAATTATGGATAACAAGTTCGTGAAAGGAATACTGTATTTAGTAATGTGCATAAAATATGGGGTTGTGAGAAAACAAGAGATGCATTTGCTAAAGCAGGGCAGGTTTATGATAGAAAACACAAACAACATTTCCAATGTAATTGCATCTGCTGGAATGGACACGAGTCACTTGGTGGAGTTTGATTAAATGGTTAACCAGGCGTTTGAATGTTGTTGGACTGTCCCTTTAAATTATAAGAAGCAACTTCACGTGAACTGCACGTAATAAACTCAGCAGTGCCACGAGGACAGAACCCGGTCCCACGATGGTGCCGAGGAGGTGTAGCTTGCTTTGAGGCTGTTCACACTCTTTCTGTCTTCTTTTTCAGGAAAAACGTTTGGAATCCCTGAGCAAAGACACGGCCTCTCGGGAAAAGCACATTCTGCCGAAAAGCTGAGTAGACCCAGCAAGTCCCCTCGCGGTGGCAAGAAACAATAAACTAAAAAACTTAATTTCTATTTTACCAGGTTAAATCCCACTGAGCTCTTAGTTATTTTTAAGGTGACCTGGCCACACTTGATAGCTCATCGAAGTGGCTTGTCATATGTGGGACGTTATAGTGGCAGCCAAAATAATCAGATTACACTTTTCTAAATGTGGAGGGGAGAAAACCGGAGGACCCAGAGAAAAATCCACACGGCCACTGGGGGAGAGAGAACACACCAACTCCAAATATAAAACAGGCGTCGTCAGGGTCCGGAATCGAACCTACATCCTCCTGAGCACCAGGTGAGGGATAAAATAAGCAGCCTTTACACGAAGGCGGCTATGCGCAAACAGTAACGTGCTAAGGAGGGAAGTGAGTCCAGGAATTAATTACATTTCTGAGAGGATGCAGAGCGGATGCCGCCACCACCCTCAGACGACAGCTGATCAGAAGCCTTCACATGCGCTACAGCAGTGGGTCGCCCCTCGTTAGGTTCTCCCATGCTGAGCGACGCATGAGCCGATCTATAATCTTCATCTTCGCTGGTAAAAGTCAAAAGTTAAAATGATTTTATGCTCAAATGAGCACCGAGGCTTTGGTGCTTATCTCGTGTTTACAGCCCTGAGCCAGTGGTGGAAATTCATCATCCATTTCTGATTTCCCCACGAAGTGGAAACAATTTTACTGACCCTGGAGGGATGATTGGCTGAGTCAACCCCCAAACCAGGATTTTAACTCGCAACCTTCTGATTGTGCGCGGTTCGCTCGACCACTGACCCACCTGGCGAATGGTACGATGCCGGTGGTGTACCATTGCTGAGAAAGGGACTGTGTGGTGGATTAAAACTCATCAATAACAGTACCCTATAGGGGAATATATCTCACACGTGAACGTTTGGGCAACGGCCTGTCTTCGTAGCAGAGATCAAGGGCCATTGCCCCAAATATCACCTATTGTTTTCCTTTTCACATGTTGTGTTTTTGCTATTTGTGCTTGTGCACCACTGCCAACGTGGTGAGCACATTTTCGTTTAACGCTGGGATGGATCGTGCGGTGGTAGCTGGAACTGCGGGATGGCGAATGGAGATGCCCAGAGAAGCGAGTTGAACGTTACCTGTGTTGTACGCTGCCGTGACGATGCGTAATTCATTGTGAAACGTATTACGCTAAGCAAATTAAAGTTTCCGTGTTGCTGTGGAGGCTTTTGGGCTGCAAGAGATGACCAGCACTTGACGGCTTCTGCAAGTCATTGACTCTTACAGCACTCCTATCCTTAACGGTGTGGCGTACCTTGTAATCTTGCTGCCCTTAATAACGCAATATTGGAACACAAATGTTACATGGCTTGGCTTTGGATCCTCTGTAAATGCCTTGGATATAAATACCCCGATTTACATCTCTCCCTTTTATGTCAGTTTGTCGTTTCACAAATATGTCGTCACTTTATTAATACCACGACCTGATTTGCATCGCCTCATCCCACACTTATGTCGCTGACAGCGTCATCCGTCCTTTCTCGTATCGTCGCACCTTTGAGGAATCCATCCCCGACGTAAACGGGGGTATTACTGTGTCACGGACATCATCCCGTAGAAAAGTAAATAGACGAGGGTGAGTTGCAGTAGCGCGGTCACAGCTGTCCCGAGTCTCAAGAAGATACAGTCGGGAGATGTTCCACCACATATTGGTGGGTGGGCCATGTTTGCCAAGGCACCAAATCTCATTTTATGCAGTAAAAAGCAGAAAGCGATCAATTTCCTGCTGCTCAAATGAGCATTGAGGCATCAGTGCTCATCTCCTGTTCACAGCCCTGCAGAGCCAGCGTTGTAAGTTCCACATTCTATTTCCCCTAGTAGCTAAGGGGTATTTGAAATTTAAAACAAATTAAGGGATGACATGTATACGAACAGAAAATTTAAAACACGTTTTTGCGGTGTAAAAAAATAATTGTACAGTAATTTTATGTGCAAGATTCATATGTGTGTACAACGGTTCATAAGTAGGCTTTACAAACTGTGGTGGTTATTATATAAAGGGAATCATTCATCCGCAGATGTGCACTAGAAATGAAAGTGTCGGCAAAAGTATGCCTCAGTTTAACACGTAGGCTTTCGCGACCAATATTATTCATAATAAAGGTTTTTGGGTTAGATCGCATTATTTATAAATGTGTCGTAACTCCACCACCCGACACAGCCAATCAGCAAAATAGTGTCACGTTGACAAACGACAATTAGTTCACTACTTTAGCCCACCGGTGTGTTGAAGAGTGAATCCACAACATTTACGGTTTGAATACGACGTTTCGCTGGTAATTACATCCAGCATCATCGGGCAATTCGCCAGAATGGTAAAGCCCTCACTGCTCTCGGTCTTAAATAGAGCAGCAGGGTGACGTCATCATTTAACTCATTTCAGGTGCAGTGATTTGAGGCGGAGGGGGGGTATTGTAATTATATAATCTATTGGTAATCAGTCAATGGTTATGATTAGTAATGAGTTGTAGATTAGAAATTAGTTGTAATGTGTGTTATTGTGATTATATGCTACATTAGTAATCCGTTAATTAATATGTGTTTCCCCTATAAGGAATTGTAATATGTATTATTTAATAATACGCTTCCAAGCCGCACTAAGCCTATAGCTATCAGAACGATTAAAGTTATTTCTGTTTCTCTCAATTTCAATGGATTCTCTAATTAGTCTTTGCCAGTAATAATTAGTTTTACACAACACTTCAACGTTATCAAAATCATATGAGTGTCCTTGTTGACAAGCATGTTCTGCCACTGCCGACAGTTGTGTTTGAGATAATTTAATATTTCTTTGGTGTTCTTTTATTCTTATGCTGATGTTACGTCCCGTCTGTCCAATATAGCATCTGCCACATAAACAATTAATCCGATATACACCTGTTGATAATTTAGGTAATTCGTCTTTCGTGCAAGATACTAGTTTTTGAATTTTGCGTACTGTACCAAATCTTACTGTAATGTTTTGCTTTTGCAAAACACGGGCTAATTTGTCAGTTACTCCTGAGATATATGGAATTTTAATTGTTTTAAGAATCTGATCACTTTCAGCAGTGTTGCTTTGCGATCATGATTTGGCATTCAGTGCTCTGTTAATTTGAGTATTATTGTAGCCATTCTGTCGTAATGCTTCTCATACATCGGGCTAAAACAGTGTCAGATGGTGACAGTCTAGTGAGAGAGATCAAACTCGTTAAAGAAGCATTACGACAGAATGGCTACAATAATACTCAAATTAACAGAGCACTGAATGTCGGCATGCAACATTAACTTCTGGGATACATTTCAAAATCATATTTCTGTTTATTGAATGGCCTTTACAGCATAGCATCAACAATACTATTACGTGACTTTACCGAAAGAACCAAAGAGTAATTCCTGCAGTCAAGAAAGCTTCGAATCTAGTTTCAACCACCCCTATGGGGAGGATTTGCCGTGTTTGAATCACACAACTTCTAATTTAGCAATCTTTGGAAGAACGTAATCAACTAGGCTATGCATTAACTGTGTGTTAACCGACTCTCTGGGTTGCATTGCATTACATTTCCTAATTTTAATAAACTTGCTTTCTCCGTACTTGTTTGTAAGTCTATTTTCTCCCCTCCGGCCGCTATGGGTTGGAATTCCACACAACTCTCTGTGCTTGTTTGTTTAGAAGTCCAGTGTCGCTCCTCCGCCCGCTATGGGCAGGAATTCCACACAACTCTCTCATTGTTTTCTACCCCCCCCCCCCCTCTCTCTCTATTTAAGGCCTCAACACAGAGGTGTTGTCTTTCTGTGTGTCTATGTGTGTGTCCCTCTCTGTGTGTCTCTGTGTGTTTTCTCTCTACTTGTCTGCCTATGTGTCTCCGTATCTGTGTTTTGTCTCTCAAATTTAGCATTCTTTGGAAGAACGTAATCAACCAGGTTGGATGTTGACTTGTGTTGACCGACTCTCTGTGTTGTATTGCATTATATTTCTAAGTTTGCTATGTTTGTTTTCTCATTCATTCGTACCTGATGATGGTTGCTTGTGTTGCAATGGAAACGTCGTATTCCATGATTATTACATTTATTTTCTTTCTACGTGACTTTACCGAAAGAACCAAAGAGTAATACTGCAAAGTTCCATCTTGATAAAATCACATTTGCAAGTCCCATGTGCTTTTACTGGAAGGACCACATTGGTAACCTGTGTCAGCTAAATTAAAACCTGATCACAACCTTCAAGGTCCAGTGAATTTTCCTCCATATTTACATGCACTCCACAGCTTGTGATGCGTACTGCGCTACCATTATGAATTTCGTTTGTAGCCCTTCGCTCTGGAATACTCTACTCTTTTGCTATAGCATTGCTAATTCTGTCCATTTCCAGCGAATGAAGCAACTTTTTTAGAACATGTATTTTTAGGGACATTTGGAAACAGTGATTTGTCGACTTGTGATGTGCTGCCAGTACAGTGCTTATATTTCACTACATCGAGAAAGCTTGCATTGTATATTGCGCAATGCTTTGAGACTTCAGAAAGTGAGATATAATTTGCGTGGAGCAAGATGTGTTGCTTTCACGTCATGTAATGTGGCGGCAGCTCCAGATACAATGATCTCGAGCAGAGTTCTTCAATTTACGGCTCGCAGAAACATAGAAAGATCTAGATGAGTGAGATGGGAGATAAACAAGAGGGAGATGAGAGAGCTGGGGACAAAATGTACACATTAGTGGTCACGTGCAGATCTTAAGACATCGGCTGACATATTTGAAGAACCCTGGCCCACAGCATGTGAGCAAATCCAGCTACAGCATCGGCGAGTCTTGCGTCCCACCAGCGTTTGTTTTCCCCGCCTCCGCCCCCTCTTGCCTCGCTGCTTCACTGCTGCTGTGCGCAGTAGCCGTCGCGCCGGTTTGTTCGTCTGCCATTGCCGGCAGTTCCAAGCGCGGCAGGGCCAGGGTGAGCCCCAGGTGTGAGCCCCCCCTCGCTCCCCACAGGGCGTCCAGCGTGTGGAGGTAGCGCAGCGACAGGGCGCCCGGCACGGCGGCGAGGACGCGTGCCGCTCCCGACAGCTCCAGCGCCGTCTGCTTCTCCGCCTGCGCCGCTATCAGCTGCACATGGAGAGATGAACACGCGGGCTTAAGAGAGGCACGCGGGAGCTCTGCATAGGCATGCTAGATTTACATCGATGGGGCATACGTGACAGCCCGCTGTGCCAGGCGGACTGGTTGCCCTGCATGTGCTCGAGGAGGGGGCTGTCACGTGGCTCTGTGGCTACGTGGGCTGACGTCCACTCACATAATAACATGGAAGTGCTACATATTAATACAATTTCTTGTGTATCTGGTGCTGTGTGTAAAAGCATTTGCGAAATTTACTCCGGCACACACACCCATATCAAGCATGGACAGAGCTTTGCAGCAGTGGCACGGTCCGCGCACAGTGCTCCGAATCCGGGGGCCTGAGTTATGTTCTCCCAGGGAGCGCTGGACCGGTTCAGATATCACTCGCCACTGATGTTAACCGTGGCCAGGAATTAAACTCGGCACCACTACCGCATGTTTTTGATCCACGTGTCACAGTGGGTGACATTGGCACACTGGCATTTAGCTTTTCATGATAAACTTCGGTGTTACTAAGAAAAACTCCATCCTGTTCTCATCTGCCTTTTTATCCCATAAATGAAAATGTAATCGCGTGGCCAAATGTGCTGCCAGTGCTCATCGTCTGTGCTGTACAGGCGGGAACTTTACCCAACTCGCATCCCTTCATTACACCGCGTGTGTTAGCCGCGCCGCACGTTCAGCCGGGCACAGCTGCGGATTTTCCATTTGGCCACTTCATGCTGCATCCTCACTTCCTGGCCCTTGTGCTGACTTCTCGGATTCTCCCGACGACGCAGTCGCAAGCGAATCACCGTGCATAATCGCTACGTTTGCTTGCTACGTTTGTTCTTTAACTCACCGGTGAGTGAGCCACGGCAATTATAATCGGCGTGTCGTTCAACACTTGCACACAAGGCGACACTTTAATTCGATTTGCCTGTGTTGGGTGGTGGAGGGGTCTTCCACCTGAAATTTAGCCGGATGACGAGTTGGAGTTATTTGTGTGTATACAGGTTGTGTGTGTGCACGTGGATGGATGCCGGTGTGTGTGTGTCAGTGTGTGCCGCGTTCGCTACCCGTGCCCTCGCCGCCCTGTTTGCATCAGCCTCCACACACACAGACGTCTGCAGCTCCAGCGGAATCCGGACGTCATTTCTGTAACCACAGCACAAACATCACACCACAGCTACGCTACATCCACACCACACCTATAACACAGCTATACCATACATCATACTACAGCTACAACACACCTACACTACACATTACACCACAGCTACACCACATCAGATTTGCACTGTTAGCTACGTATGGTATGGAAGAAGTTCAACATACATACATACCACACATTTCAGCTACACCACATCTATACTACACCACAGCTACACCACACATTACACCACACCTACACCACAGCCACCTCACACGTTACACCACACAACGCATTTCACCCCACGTACACCACAACACATTACACAACAACTGATCAAACGTTGAGTTGCCTCCCAATTGAGATTGGAAACCACAACCTCCAACCACGAGGCCAGTGGTTGGAGGTTGTGTAAATCTCATTTGTGTGTACCTCATATGTGGTTCTGAGCGGAGTGGGTGTGTGGATGGGAATGTGTCTGTGTTTATCCGGGATTCAAATCTTAGGGGACGGGTATAAAGATAAAATGGGGGGCAGAGAGGAGGGGGGCTGCCAAAATGGAAATCTGAACAAAGTCGTTCTAATGAGAGGTAATGTCAACCCCTCACTCTCTAAGGACAGTGGACATTCTGAGGGAGGGTGAGCAGCGGTAGTGGAGCATTTAGTGCTACGCCGTGCTACGCCGTGCTATGAACCTGGCGACCCGGGTTCGATTCCCGCTCACGGCAAACACACAGTGACGATTATCTGAAGCGGTCCTGGTTCAGCCTCAAGTGAGTACCTGGTGCGGTGTGTAAACATCGCCACTTGGGAGACAAAGGCGGCCGGGCGTGGTGCTGACCACCCACCCCCTCGTGTGCCGTGCTGGCCTTCATAGGTGCTTGCAGACAGCACTTTCCCCAACAGTCTGCTACGGCTATATGGGGGATCTTTGTGTGTGTGTGTGAGTGAGAGCGTGTGGGTTTATATTGGTGTGTGAGCGTGTGAGTGTGAGAAAGACGCTTTGCTTACATTTCTGCTCTTTCCACTTTGATCCCCCATGAGCCCACAACTGCATCCAAACATTCCTGGTATAAGAAGAACGCGCATGAACACAACATCACTTTCCTTTGCATCGCTTTATGTAAGCAAGCTATTACACTGAACATATTATTTGTACGATTCTCTGTCAATCCACTGCTGGATGAAAGCTTCCCCAAGCTGTTAGTCTTGACGCGTAACAAACCATATGGTACATGCGTTCAGGTCCATAGCGGGCGTCCTCTCAGCCGCATTCCCTCATTTGTCTGCCACTCCGTCTGTAGTCTCGACCGCCAGCCATCGTCCCTTCTAGCGACGTCGTTCTGCCCAAGCCCACTGACATTTCTCAGCAGTCAAAGTGTTTCGAGCTTGTCCTCTGGTCTATGTGTTCCTCTGTCATTCCAAGTGTGCATCTCTCCGATCTTCTCTGTGCACCGATCAGCCTTTTGTTCAGACGCTCACACGCAGGCAATCGCGCTTTCCACGTTACATTAAGTTAATAAAAAAACTGTGAATGTCCCAAAGCCATATAGTTTCATAACTCCCGCGAAGCAATTTACATCGGGAAGAGTACGTGCTCCAGTTACACGTGGGACATAAAAACACAGGGCAACTATGCCATGGCAGTTTGCAGTCACCGAATTGACTGCTCGGGGTTCCCCTCGACCTATGGCACTCATGGGTCCCATGCGAGTGTGGCATGAGTAGAGATCACACGTAAAACTATTGAACTGCAAAGTCATACATCCTGCTGGCAAAGTGATGACTCACGCTAGTGAATTAAATGGTCAAGGAGGGTCAATAATGCCCACGAGACCCCTATTAATTATAATTTGCTGTGATGTACGGTTGCTACCTGAACATAACAACAGTAGTTATAAGAGTAATTACGTATGGGTGACAGCCCCAGTGTATGTGTTTAAGCGTGGGTGTAGTCATGCACTTTGATGGGGGATCGGTGGTGCAGCGTGCTAACTGCCGTACTACGAACCTGGCGAGCCGAGTTCGATTCCCACTCACACGAGATGATGAATATCTTAACTGCCACTGGACATCCTCTAAGCTCGACTCAGCCTTGAATGGTTACCTGGTGCGGTGTATAAACATCGACACCGTACCTGCCTTCATAAGTGCTCGCCAACACCGCTTACCACAGCAGCCTGAGTGGAGCTCTTTGACCGTGCATGATTTTACCTTTGTATGCTGAGCCAATTCTGGCCTATGCTGTAGGATGTAGCTCAGATCCTTCTTGGCCACCAAGGCTCGGACCTTAGCCTGCAGTACCAAGCCCAAGGCCTCGAGTGGCTGAGCGACGCTCACGGCCCAGATGCTGGCCCGCTCCACACGGTAGTGGCAGGCGACGCTCACCCGCACACTCAGCGAGTCGCTCGTGATCACCTTGGGGGGAGCAGGCACCGCAGGCACAAAAATCCTCACTCAACGGCTTGCTGCTGTTACCGGAGAAGTGCTGTTATCGAGCACCACGCCCGGCCACCTTAGTCTCCCCAATGCTGATGTTTATTAAACTATAATTTTTTATTATTTAAAAAAATGTCTATCTACATGACTTTACCGAAAGCCCAAAAGAGTATGAATTCCTGCAGTCACGAAAGCTTTAAGTCAAGATTTAACCACCTCTAAGGGGAGGGTTTCCACACAACCATTAGATCTTTTAACAGACTCCGAGACAAGAAGGCTCATCCGACCGAGTCGCTCACTTTTCTGAAGAGATGCCGCGACACCAAGGTAATTCCGATTGCCTTTACACTCACATTTGCTGCTGTCACTTTTCCTAATGCTAAACGGATCTTGTTCAGGGCCAGCCTAGCCCTGATTTCAGAGAGAATAAGATTGCTCCGTTTTGAACTAGATAATTTAGACAAGATTCTCTTACAATCACACTTAGCCTTGACAGAAAAAATGTCTACATCTGATTGGGACCATGTAGATAACATAACTGCCTCTTCAGCCGCCTCGATGTCAGCTAAATGCAAAGATAACCTGATTTTCCAAGTTCAGCCTCCTGTCTAAGAAGAATCCAGAGCCACACATTAAAACGTTAGACGTTGATAAGATTGTTATCAATCAGAGTAACAGCCCAATTCCCGACAGCCTAAAATCGGTACTAGCTCAAGGGCATAATTTCACAGTCACCCCTAAACACATCCCAGTTGATGATATCATTGCCCAGGTTAAAACTCTACACCATAGGGCTCGTTGCATTTTCGACTATCACCACCTAGCCAGTGAACTGGAGCACGAACACCAAGCCCTCAAGATGAATGGATATTCGTATTGCACAATCCATAAAGCTATCACCCCAACCGTTGGGATAGAACCACCTGAGGACCCAATCAAAACCATCACCTTGCCATACATAGCAGGGGTCACCAAAAATATTTCCAAAATCATGAGCAAACACAAGATCCAGGTCTGAGTCAACACAGTACGTAAAATTCGTGATCTTATCCCATCTGTGAAGGATGTGATCCCTGACATGCAATATCCCGGTGTCTACAAACTAAGCTGTGCCTGCGGCAGTAGTTACATTGGGGAAACGAAGCGACATGTCTCAGACCGTGTTCGCGAACACAAGGCAGATCTGAAACACGGTAGGACCAACACCTCTGCCATGGCTGATCATTGTTTTAACGCTGTGGGCACACACGAAATTGATTTCTCCAAGACGAAGGTACTATGCAAACCCACTGGCTATCAACAAAGATTTGTTCATGAAGCCATCCAGATATATAAACACAGACACAATTTCAACCGAGAAGATGGGTACAAACTGAGCAATCATTGGAAGGACGTTATTAACCAGATAAAGTCATAACTGGCTGTGATGCTTCCATCCTACTTCCCTATGTTAGCAGTTATTTCCGACTGAGTTACATTACCTTGTGTCTTTATATTAACAGGCTAACTGTCTCACTAACATAGCTGCTGCTTCCCTTTCCTCGATGCGGCGGTGGCGCTCGTTGTTTAATAGGCTGAATGTCTCTCATTAACACAGCCGCTACTGCGGGAGCAATCTCACATTGACATGCTAATCTCTAATCTCGAGCAATACAATGGCTTCTTCAGCACCGTAGCCGTGGGGTTAAATTAACAGATTGACATGCTAATCTCGAGCAACACAATAGCCGAGGTATACCTAGCTCTGCGATCTTACATTTTCTTGCAAATTCCATCTCTAGCCCCGCCCACTTACCATTGGGTGGTACCCATCTCAAACATATATAACCTTTGGCTTAAGTCACTCTCTCGCTACATTTCTTCCTGCCTCAGCAGTTCGCCTACTGTATTTTTTCACCTGAAGACGATTGCTTGTGTTGCGATCGAAACGTCGCGAATTATTTTATTATTTTTCTATCTACGTGACTTTACCGAAAGACCCAAAGAGTATTAAAACGAAACTATTTTTTGTTTTACCAGGCAGCCTGGCCACAAATGATAGCTCAACGAAGTGGTTTATCGCGTGAAATCTATCACAGCCAAATTCTCTAAACGCATGTTAATTCTAAATGTGGAGGGAAAAACCGGAGGACTCGGAGAAAAATCCACGATACTACAGGCAGAGAGACATGCAAACTCCAAATATACAGCAGGCGTCAGGGTCAGGATTGAACTTACGACATCCTGCATACCTGACGAGGTAGTTAACATCTCACCACACTTCACCAAAGGCAGAGTCGACCCAGAACTAGCTCAGATATTTGTCACTCGTATTGGCCACGAGCAAACAAGACGCTCGTAATCCCAGTCTCCGCCTCTGTGCCTCCAATTCACCTGAACTAGCAGCGTCATTCCTCCGTGTGCACGCACGTCTGACTGAGGCAGAACAAACATGCTCTGGAGATTCTGCAAATGGCAGATGCTGCGAAGCTAGGTCAGAACAAATAGACACACGGCCCAATTTGTGAATCCACTGCCTGATGAGGTCGGGTTATCAGGGGGGCTAATTCCAGTGCAGGTTGGTGACGGTCTGAAACATATACTTCGGAGCATAGACGTCCAGTACAACAATGAATTTTGCTGCTCTTCCTTCTGCTGCCCACCACGTAGCCCTGCAGCCTATAACACCAGTTACGCATGGTGGTCACCCAATCCAAGCACTATTTAGACTCAACCCTGCATAGCTTCCAAGGTGTGTTGGGATCGGGGCGCATCCCGGGCGGTTTGGCCTAGAGGCTCGACACTCATTCGCAACGCACATACCTCGTGTAGTGGCACTTCCAGAGTCCGCATTCTCAGATCCACTTTCTGGTAGGTGTCCAGGCACGGGAGAATGAAAAATAATCCTGGGAATAGAGGGACAGCAACAGGGTGATGGCGCAACACCAACAAGGGCAGACCTGTAATTGCTCGTGTACGCCACTGTGGCCTCAGCTAGATCGAATATTGGGGAAAGTTAATATGTCAGTGCCTTAAAATGCACTGGATGATAACGTATGAACAGAATCGTACGGAACTCCAATCCAACACTTTCTGTAAACGATGAGAAGACCAATCAACAACTTCAGAATGGGTGGAAACGATTACATTTAATAACAATCACGTCATCTTGTAATGCGGCCACGCATGGTATTGGCTCGTTCTTGTGGAGAGATCGACTCAGAGGCATCAGGAGTAGAAAACACAGATGAGCGAGAAGGCAGCAGCAGCCACGCGGTGAGAAGCTGGCGCCAACTGCCCAAGCTCTGCAGCCCTCTATCTATGAAGGTGTTATTGTTTAATTAAATAGTGTTTACATGTGGGAGGAAACCGGAGCACCTGCAGAAAACCCACATGTGCAAGGGGGAAACACTCAGGCGGAGTCCACATCTCGACGCCCACGGGAAGGGAGTGTCGCAACATTTGTGCTGTGATCCACCAACTCTCGCTGCTGTCTCCACAGCGCTGGGTTACAAGCAGCCACATGCAGCAGCAACAACAACTGCCATTCGCCACTAAGTGGCGGTGATATCACCACAGCACTTGTGCACGGATATGTGCACGTTGAGACCACGTGAAGTGTCGAACGCCCACTGGCAGGTCACGGGGCAGACCCATGTGCCACGGGTCAACTGACTGAGATGACTGGCCAATGCACCACCTGTGCCCCCTACTGTGCCAACTTTCTGTGCTTTAACCACCCGGCGCTCCGCTCGTTGTTGTGAGCGTCGCTCCTCCACCCTCCGTTGTTGTTGGAGGGCCGACTGCTTCCAACTGCCCAGTAGCATCCTTCACGAGCATCCTCCACAGAGACCGATCTTAACACTGCTGGTATCAGTCATCGGCAAGTTCACACAGCTCCATATCCTCCTGTACCACATCACTCCATCTCTTCTCTAGCCCGTGCCGCACCTGTTGAGCCCCCTCTATCTTTCCGAACAAAAGCTGTTTAGGCATGCGGGGGCTGGGTATGCGGGCGACATGACCCAGCCAATGCAGCCTTGCCTGCTGGAGGAGCTCACCGATGGGACTTTGTCCAGATCTTTCAATGATTTGTGAGCTCCTCACACAATCGAGCTAAGTTAACCCATAATGGATCGTAGACTCGCCAGCCTAAATGTTTTTAACCGGCGAAGATGTTCCATTAGGGGGGTCCACGTTTCGTTTCGCAAGCGTAGAGAAGGAGGGGCATGACTGTGGCCGAGAAGACCTGTGGTACCACCACAGTGGAGCAACTCGGCTGGTGCTACCCTCTCCTCGCACCCCCCCCCCCCCCACGAACGCACGCACGCCCCACTAAACACTCACATGCACCCCCGTAGGATCTCGAGGAGGGATCACCTGGTACGATGGGTTTTCACCCGAGGACCCCACTAGCAGGGACGTTCCACGGTTTCCCCGGACCAGGAAACTGGCTGAGCCCCCCAGACCGGATTACATGGTGGTCCCACCCAAAAGGGGGCATAGAGCTTTACTGGCCGGCCGCGATGAAGCACACACAACACGGGGGGATGGGACCCCAAGGCGAGCACCCTGCGGCAGTGTAAACAGTGGGGTGGGAGGGAAAATCCCCTAGGCATATAGGAGGATTTAAGAGAGAGGAACCGAGGGGATTATCGGTGAGTCAGCGGCAGGGAACGCAGGTACAGAGACAATGGAAAGGGGGGGCTGACGTGACCCCCCCCCCCCCCAACGGCCAGAGCGCTCAAAACGGCCGAAAAAAGGATTCGATTGGACGCGCAGGATGACATCATGTGACCCGGTGATTAACGGGCTTTGGGAACATAAGGGGGGAAGGAGGGCAAATTGGCTCAGAGTTCTTCTGGAGTGGTGGAGAATACCAGCTGCCCTCAGCATCCGTGGGACGCCTGCAGGGTGCACCTGAAAACAATTGCCCAGGCAAAGTCTCAGAGGCGAGCATCTTCGCCAACCCCCATCGTGCAGCTGGAAAGGTGAGTAAGCACGGGTGGCCGCTTCAGCACAGTTCGCAGTCAGCCCTAGCTCGGGGATAGTCGCACTCTGCGAAGGGTAGGTGATAAGAGGTTAGGCGCTGTCCGAAGGGTGCTGGCTGGAGGGGGCCAAAAGCAAGGGTTCGCTATTCACGCCGGAAATAAAACCTTGGTACCAGATTGTTGGTTGACACGTTGTGCGTGTGCGTGTGTGTCAAGGGGGGTAAAGAGCGGTGGGACAGTGATCAGTGCACTGCTGTGTGTGGGTGACTCAAATCAGTGTGTGTATGACGCGCGCACATACAAATAAATAATTAAAGATAAACGTTCGCCCGCACCGCGAGCGCATTGCGCAGAGATTAATTAATTGATTCCAGTGCCGGCAGGTTGTTGACACGACGGCTTAGAGAAATAATTAATTAATTCCGAACAGCTGCGAGCGGCGATTTAAACAATATTACGTAATTCGCGATTTAAACAATATTACGTAATCCGCGCGGTTAGGACGCGTGAGTGGGGGGGAGGGTGCGCGCTTAATTGACCCCTAGGCGGTGTCTGCCAGCCGCTAGCTACAGTGAGGGAAAAAAGTATTTGATCCCCTGCTGATTTTGTACGTTTGCCCACTGACAAAGAAATGATCAGTCTATAATTTTAATGGTAGGTTTATTTGAACGGTGAGAGACAGAATAACAACAAAAAAATCCAGAAAAATGCATGTCAAAAATGTTATAAATTGATTTGACCCCTCCTCAATCAGAAAGATTTCTGGCTCCCAGGTGACTTTTATACAGGTGTAGTGGAGTAGAAAATACGCATGGGTAAATTGGCCATATACAGTACATACAAACAGTGTGGGTCATGTAAATTCGAGCAGGTGATGAAGTCACGGGTGGCGTAAACAAGCCAAAGTAATTAAGGGAGTCAAGGGACGAGGGCTGTGATTAGTCGAGAGGCTGTTAGCGTTAAGTGGCGGCGTCACAGAGTCTGGGCCGTTGGACAGGTGCAGAGCTGGCGGGGAAAATGCCAGCGAGGCAAGTGGCAATTAATTAAGGCTGATTGGAAAGGGGATAAAAACGCTAGGTGATTTGGACGGCAGGGAGAGTTGGCGAGAAGTAAGAGACAGCAGCGGGTAGAGAGAGATGCGAAGAGGGGAGCCGGCAGGTGTTAGTGGGAAATAGATTGAGAGCCGAACCCAGAGGACAATAAATAGCGATAGCGAGAGTTAGCATTAGCAGAGTGGAGATTACGGTATAGGTAGGTACAGGGAGAATTAGCGATAGACAAGTCACTGTGTGTGAAGAGATAAACAAGTCACTGTGTGTGAAGAGATAGACAAGTCACTGTGTGTGAGGAGATAGACAGGTCACTGTGTGTGAAGAGATAGACAGAGTCACTGCATGTGAAGAGATAGACGAGTCACTGTGTGTGAGGAGATAGAGATAGAACCACTGTGTGTGCGGGGGAAGAAGAGACTGTGTGGGGAGACAAGGATTATGAGTGGACAGTGCTGAGGGGAATTCGAGTGTTCGAGTTGGCGGAGCGCGGAGAGGAGAGGAGAAATTATAGTGTGCGGAATGATAGACGGTGGAAGAAAGGCGATTGTCGTCCGAGTGAATCCAAGGCACTACACGGGTAACGAGCTGAGATTAGGAGCACACTCTTAAAGGGAGTGCTACCCTAATCTCAGCTTGTTACCTGTATAAAAGACACCGGTCCACAGAAGCAATCAATCAGATTCCAAACTCTCCGCCATGGCCAAGACCAGAGCTCTCCAAGGATGTCAGGGACAAGATTGAAGACCTACACAAGGCTGCAATGGGCTACAAGACCATTGCCAAGCAGCTTGGTGAGAAGGTGACAACAGTTAGTGCGATTATTCGCAAATGGAAGAAACACAAAAGAACTGTCAATCTCCCTCGGCCTGGGGCTTCATGCAAGATCTCACCTCGTGAAGTTGCAATGATCATGAGAATGGTGAGGAATCAGCCCAGAACTACACGTGAGGATCTTGTCAATGATCTCAAGGCAGCTGGGACCATAGTCGCCAAGAAAACAATTGGTAACACTACGCCGTGAAGGACTGAAATCCTGCAGTGCCCGCAAGGTCCCCCTGCTCAAGAAAGCACATATACATGCCCGTCTGAAGCTTGCCAACGAATATCTGAATGATTCAGAGGACAACTGGGTGAAAGTGTTGTGGTCAGATGAGACCAAAATGGAGCTCTTTGGCATCAACTCAACTCGTCGTGTTTGGCGGAGGAGGAATGCTGCCTATGACCCCAAGAACACCATCCCCACCGTCAAACATGGAGGTGGAAACATTATGCTTTGGGGGTGTTTTTCTGCTAAGGGGGCAGGACAACTTCACCGCATCAAAGGGACGATGGACGGGGCCATGTACCGTCAAATCTTGGGTGAGAACCTCCTTCCCTCAGCCAGGGCATTGAAAATGGGTCGTGGATGGGTATTCCAGCATGACAATGACCCAAAACACACGGCCAAGGCAACAAAGGAGTGGCTCAAGAAGAAGCACATTAAGGACCTGGAGTGGCCTAGCCAGTCTCCAGACCTTAATCCCATCGAAAATCTGTGGAGGGAGCTGAAGGTTCGAGTTGCCAAACGTCAGCCTCAAAACCTTAATGACTTGGAGAAGATCTGCAAAGAGGAGTGGGACAAAATCCCTCCTAAGATGTGTGCAAACCTGGTGGCCAACTACAAGAAACGTCTGACCTCTGTGATTGCCAACAAGGCTTTTGCCACCAAGTACTAAGTCGTGTTTTGCAGAGTGGTCAAATACTTATTTACCTCATTAAAATGCAAATCAATTTATAACATTTTTGACATGTGTTTTTCTGGATTTTTTTTGTTGTTATTCTGTCTCTCACTGTTCAAATAAATCTACCATTAAAATTATAGACTGATTTCTTTGTCAGTGGGCAAACGTACAAAATCAGCAGGGGATCAAATACTTTCTTCCCTCACTGTATATCATTCAGAGAGGGTGCTGGTGCGGGAGGGGGGGGGGCGGTCACCCGGTCGGGGGCGGGGGTGGAGGGGGCAGATGTTGCGCCCCACCCGCTCATTGGGAGTGGGGAGGGGAGCATTAGCCCCCACAGACCTGAAGCTTCGTGTGGAGCGACAGACCAGGTAGCTTCCAAACAGCGTTACGCAACCGATGAAAATATAATGCCGCTCGACTGATTCGGAGTGAGACCTCTGCTGTTAATCTGGAGCTGGTCATGAGCACACTGCCCAGGTATGAGAAACTCTCCACTCTCTCCACAACTGCCCCATCACCAATTGGGGTTTGTGGGGGTGGAGTGTCCGATGGTACAAAATACCCAGGCAGGTGCTTAGTTTTGGTGGGGCTGATGGTAAGGCCCCACCCACCTCTTAGTGGCACGCTCCAGGTTCAGCAGCAGCACCTCCAACTACTCCAGATCATCGGCATACATAACATAGTTGACCAATAGGCAGCAGCATAGCCACCACCACCACAGGTGTGCTGCTACTGCTGTTCACAAACAGCACCAAGGCACAACTCCCACAATGCCTTGCATATGTGTCACGTGACCCCTATATTGCATGTACAACACTCAGAGCCGGTCTATGCTTGTGTGGGTGGCCTAAACAACAACACAACCACACGTTCAGCTCCGTCGAGCTGGTTGGTCCGATCAAGGCTGAGTGCATGTGAGCCACATGCAGGCTCAAGCGGAGCTCAGAGGCCACCTTCACGCGGGGCCCCGTGACCCGCGCGTGTGACCGCATGCGCTGCGTGTGGGGTACCTGGTCCATTGGCCCTCACTGACAAGAGGCGACCCAAACGGAAGATAACGGCTCTCTCATACTCGTAAACCACCTGCAGTCCGGCACAACAAGAATAAACAAGACAAGGCAATGAGAGACGTAAATGAAACGTGCCACGCGACGCAATAACCACCTCCCCCCGCGTTCGTCCTGCGTAGGCAGCGTACCAACAAACAGTGGCAGCGTCCACTAAAAGCATCGCGGAGCAACTCTTGCACGTCCACGCGACCAAGTCACAGGCACGCAGCTTACTGTGTGTGGCACGGTGGGAATCGGTCTTCACGAGGCATAGTGGTCATGCTGGGCGCTCTGTGACCGCAGGCTTCTGCAGCTTACACGGCCCAGACAGCATGGCAGAGAACAAGGCGGCCTGGGACAGACGCCTGCATCCTAGCTCTGTTGTTGTCCTATAGAGCGGTGGTTCTCAAACAGGGGGGTACACGGAATCCTGGGGGGTACACGGACAACCGGGGTGTACCTGGCAATGTCCCAGGGAGTACGTGAGGTGATTTATAAATATGTGAAATTATATCACACGTTAGGCATTGGTGAATCATCACGTATGAATCTGCCAATATAAAATAACTACTATAATATTTAAATCCATATGGTAACCTAGAACGATATAAAAAAAAGATTTCTAAACTAATAATAAAGGTTTTTGGTTTAGATCGCGTTATTTATAAATGTGTCGTAACCCTCCACCACCTGACACGGCCAATCAGCAAAAAAAAAGTGTCACGTTGACAAAAGACAAATAATTCACTACTTTAGCCCACCGGTGTGTTGAGGAGTGAATCCACAACATTTACAGTTTGAGTACGACGTTTCGCTGGTAATTACATCCAGCATCATCGGGCAATTCGCCAGTATGGTGAAGCCGTCGCTTGCTCCCGGTTTTAAATAGAGCAGCAGGGTGACGTGATTATTTAACTCATTTCAGGTGCAGTGATTTGAGGCGGAGGGGGGGTATTGTAATTATATAATCGATTAGTAATCAGTCAATGGTTATGATTAGTAATGAGTTGTAGATTCGTAATTAGTTGTAATGTGTGTTAGTGATTATAGGCTATGTTAGTAATCCGTTACTTAGTATGTGTTTCCCCTATAAGGAATTGTAATGTGTATTATTTAATAATACGCTTCCAGGCCGCACTAAGCCTGTAGCTGTCAGAGCGATTACAGTTATTTTTATTCCTCTCAATTTCAATTGATTCTCTAATTAGTCTTTGCCAGTAATAATTAGTTTTACACAACACTTCAACGTTATCAAAATCAATTGAGTATCCTTGTTGACAAGCATGTTCTGCCACTGCCGACAGTTGTGTTTGAGATAATTTAATATTTCTTTGATGTTCTTTTAGTCTTACGCTGATGTTACGTCCCGTCTGTCCAATATAGCATCTGCCACATAAACATTTAATCCGATATACACCTTCTGTTGATAATTTAGGTAATGCGTCTTTAATGCAAGATGCTAGTTTTTGAATTTTGTGTACTGTACCAAATCTTACTTAAATGTTTTGCTTTTGCAAAACACGGGCTAATTTGTCAGTTACTCCTGAGATATATGGATTTTTTTATTGTTTTAACAATCTGATCGCTTTCAGCAGTATTGCTTTGCGATCGTGATTTGGCATTCAGTGCTCTGTTAATTTGAGCATTATTGTAGCCATTCTGTCGTAGTGCGTCTTTAAAGTGTTTGATCTCTCTCACTAGACTCTCACCATCTGACACTGTTTTAGCCTGATGTATGAGCGTCTTGATAAGAGAGGATTTCTGAGCTGGAAGATGATGTGAATCTGCATTCAGATAGGCATCAGTGTGCGTTTGCTTTCTATAAACGCTGTATGTTATTTTACCGTTTAGGCCATGTCCAAGCAAAATATCTAGGAATGGGAGTGTGTTATGCACCTCCATTTCCATGGTGAACTGGATGGCCGGGTTTTGTGCATTGAGATGATTTAGAAAATCATTAAGTGTATCTTTACCATGTGGCCAGACAATAAAAGTGTCGATTTAAAGCTTTCGCGACTGCAAGGATTCATCTTCTTTGGTTCTTTCGGTAAAGTCACGTAGAATGAGAATGAAATAATAAATTGATCAAATAAAATAACACAATAAAATTCTCACGACGTTTCGGCCACAACACAAGCGGCCTTCATCAGGTGAAGGGACGAGACTGTCTGGAGGACAGCGCTGGAGCGAAAAAGCCACGCTCAGATCGCGACCTTTAAGCTGTGTGAGAAGAAACAGAGCGCCTTGACAAAGGAATTAGCATAGAATTTAGCATTGAAACAGCTGAGTGATTAGCTTGTGACTGGTCACAGAAATGGCTATGTTAAAGTTAAAGCATACACATCCACAGAGGCACCCCTTGACAAAGGAATTAGCATAGAATTTAGCATTGAAACAGCTGAGTGATTAGCTTGTGACTGGTCACAGAAATAGCTATGTTAAAGTCAGAGCATACACATTCACAGAGGCACCTAGTACAAATCAAACTAGAGTATTTAGCATTGAAATAACTAGGATAATTTAGCATTGAAATAACTGAGTGATTAGCTTGTGACTGGTCACAGAAATGGCTATGTTGAATCAAAGCCTACACATCTGAGCTATTCACAGTAACTGGGTATACACTACAATATATAATGAATACTATATAGTGAACCAATAAAAAACAAAAATATAAATTACCTCAATGTTATCAATAAACTCTATATATTCTCCAATCAGCTAAGTTAACAACAATAAGTCGTTATATATCACAATGCTATATGGCGAAAAAATGGGTGGATTCTTACCCTCATCGTTAGCGACACGAATAGCTATGGGCCCCGTTCAGACGGACGAGTTCATCCATGGTCGGAACAGAGGAGGGGGAGAGAGACAGCTGCGAGGTGCTGTTATACTCCATGTTGTAAACCATACCATTAACCGTGGTGTGAGAGGTATTAAGAGTCAATGCCAGCGAAAGAGCTGCGGTCTGAAGGTCATCGTAAAATACAATTAATTAAGAACAGAAATGGTTTAAAACATCTTTGCAATGGTTACTCAGCCAGAATCCATCTTCTCGGTTGAAATTGTCTCTGTGCTTGTATATGTGAATGGCCTCATGAACGAATCTCTCATGGTAGCCGGTTGGTTTGCAAAGAACCTCCATCTTGGAGAAGTCAATGTCATGTGAGCCCACTGAATTATAACAGTGATCTGCCACGGCAGAGGAGTTCGTTCTACCGTGTTTCAAGTCTGCTTTATGTTCGCAGATGCGGTCCGAGATATGTTGTTTGGTTTCTCCAATGTAGCTACTACCACAGAGGCACTTTAGTTTGTAAACGCCCGGGTATTGTATGTCTGGAACAGCATCTTTTACAGATGGAACTAGATCACGGATTTTATGTACTGTGTTGAATCGGACCTGGATCTTGTGTTTATTCAGGATTTTGGAGATCTTTTTAGTGAACCCTGCAATGTAGGGTAAGGTGATGGTTTTGAGTAGCTCCACAAGAGGATCCTTCTTCATGACTGGAGTGATGGCTTTGCGGATTGTGTAGTCGGAGTAACCATTAGCCCTGAGAGCCTGGTGTACGTGCTTGAGTTCACTGGTAATGTGTTCCTGGTCGGAAATACATTGGTCTCTATGGTATAGAGTCTTAGTTTTTCTGGGATGGATGGTGGTGGGAATCCGGTTTCAAGTAAGCATCTGTATGCGTAGCTTTCCTGTAGACAGAGTGGCTCATTGAACCATCATGTCTCCTTTTAATTAAGACATCCAAAAAGGGTAGTTTGCCATCTTTTTCGATCTCCATGGTAAATCTTATGGCTGGGTGTATGGAATTGATGTGGTCGCGGAATTGGTCTAGAGCAGGCTGGCCATGTGGCCAGATGACAAAGGTGTCATCCACGTACCTCTTCCATAAGGTCGGGCGTAGAGTGGCAGTCTGGATGGCGTCAGTTTCAAATTTTTCCATGAATATGTTGGTTACAACCGGAGATAGGGGGGAACCCATTGGGGTGCCCTCAGTTTGTTTGTAGAAAGTTCCATTCCAGGTGAAGTATGTGTTGGTTAAGCAATGTCTCACCAGGGGGGGTACATCAGTATGCAGTCCTTGATGAACCAGGTCTTCAATGATAGCGATGGTGTCAGGTACCGGGACTTTGGTGAACAAGGACACCACATCAAAACTGGCAGCAGACCACCAAGATTATATGGCCTTCCAAAGATACACAAAGAAGATACACCCCTTCGTCCCATCGTCTCTACTATCAACTCCCCCACCTATAAACTGGAACGTTTTCTTGCTGATATACTGCGACCTTTCACTGGAAAAACCACCTCTGCGGTACTACATCAAAAACGGAAACTACATCAAAACTGACAAGCAGGTCGTCTGGGGACAGGGAAATGCCTTTGATTGTCGATACCAGGTGAGTAGAATTTAGTACCGCAGAGGTGTTTTTTACAGTGAAAGGTCGCAGTATATCAGCAAGAAAATGTGCCAGTTTATAGGTGGGGGAGTTGATAGTAGAGACGATGGGACGAAGGGGTGTATCTTCTTTGTGTATCTTTGGAAGGCCATATAATCTTGGTGGTCTGCTGCCAGTTTTGATGTGGTGTCCTTGTTCACCAAAGTCCTGGTACCTGACACCATCGCTATCATTGAAGACCTGGTTCATCAAGGACTGCATACTGATATACCCTCCCTGGTGAGACATTGCTTAACCAACACATACTTCAACTGGAATGGAACTTTCTACAAACAAACTGAGGGCACCCCAATGGGCTCCCCCCTATCTCCGGTTGTAGCCAACATAATCATGGAAAAATTTGAAACTGACGCCATCCAGACTGCCACTCTACGCCCAACCTTATGGAAGAGGTACGTGGATGACACCTTTGTCCTCTGGCCACATGGCCAGCCTGCTCGAGACCAATTCTTCGACCACATCAATTCCATACACCCAGCCATCAGATTTACCATGGAAGTCGAAAAAGATGGCAAGCTACCTTTTTTGGATGTCCTAATAAAAAAGAGACCTGATGGTTCA